TTACCTTTGGCAAGTGTGAGAATTAATGCAATAAATCACAAAGCTCAGTATAAAACCTGCTTTAGTGGATCACGTTCCCAACAACCTACTCACAGGGAACCCCTGACCGGCTGGCCCTTCTGAGCTCCCCACTCTAACTCCGGGGCTCTGCAGGACACTTCTTGGAAAAAAGAAAATACAGCAATACCACTTTAGTTCAAACTCTTCATTTTTCAGAGAGAAAGACTAGGTCTCTGGACAAATGTTAAAGATAAAGCTAGATTATGAACTGGAAAAACCCTAAATAGTAAAATATACGAGCACACACACGCAATCATTTAAATTGAAAACAATGTTAACTTTCAAAAAAGTTTAAGGGAACTCAAATATTTTCATTTTTCACATGACTTTTTCATTATCGTTATGGCTTGGTCATGAAGGGAAATAAAAAGTGTATACCTGAATAAATCGTTTCTCTTGTTTGTTTCTCTTGTTCATCACCCCACGGACTGGGTACACCAGTATTACTTTATTGCTCAGGTGAGGAATAAAAATTCCATGTCCTGGATCAAAATCCTTTGATTTTTTTTCCCTACTGCAACTTCCTCATGACCTTTTGTTTAAGTTATTTCCAAAGGAGGCAAATCAGTAACCAATAAACTTTACATTCAAGGACCACTCAGCGAATGGGTTCACTTTTGCTAAGATTTGAGATTTCACTCTTACCAGGGAGATCTTCCTCTTCTGAGACACTTCGACTCATTTAAACTGACTCCTTCACTTTATTTTCCTTTACGTTCTCTAGACTCCAAACAACAAACAAATGCGCTCTACCAGCAGAGGAAAAGCCTATGAAGTGTAAGGAATATTCTTGGGACTCTGAGTAAAACCAGAAGTGACACATGTTGGTTAAACGCTCAAATTCTGGAGCCAAACAAACGTCATGCTAGTGCAGGCTCGGCCACTCACCAGCTGTGAGACCTTGAGCAAATTATTTTTCTTCTTTCACAAAAGTGGATAATAAGTACCCTTCTCACAGGATTCTTGGGAGGATTAAGTGCAATAAGGCACATAACGTTAGTACAGAGCCGGGCATCTGTGAAGCATCTATTAAACGGTAGGTGCTGGTACTTATTTCTTGTTGCAATATGTAAAATTAACAAATGGGACAAAATCATTTAGCCTGAGATAGCTTTGAAAAATGAGACAGCACTTGTTGTTTTGGAGCTCTTTTATTATAGTGTTTAAAGAATTCACTGTGTGCTAGTGCTATGTTTTGGTTTAAAAGCCATCTATTTATGAAGATTGATATTTCAGCAGAAAAACATGAATGAATCTTTCATCTAATCAATCTCTCTGATATCCATCATTATTGTTCCTGGGTGTTCTATATAGAAGCTGTCAGCCTTTCCAAGAGAACATCAAAAGATCAGTCATTTTTTGCCTAATAAGATCAAACAGGAAAGCCACGTTGCTGTGACTGCTAAAATGCCTTTTTAAAGAGCTTATTCCTGACATATGATTGAAAAATGCTTATGAAAACCATATTCAGAAAACTACTCAAAAATTGATCATTCATCACTAGTCTCTTATGTTCACATAGCATTGGTTTGCTTAAGATTGACTATGCCTTTTAAACATTTCTGAGATTTTGATCCTATAGCTTCAATAAGCACAGACTAGAGAATGTATGAAAGATTCTTGGGGCAGTGTTTTTTTTTCCCTTATCAGGTAATGATTTCGGTGAGCTCAATTGGATTGGATTACCTCTTTTGTTGTTTCTTATTTCATGCAGTGATCTATAATGTTAAATGCCAGGATACCTAACAGCATTTCACAATGCATTAATTCAGAAAAATTTTACCAGTTAAAACAATAGGCTTTAAAAATCAAAGTGACCTCTGAAGACGTCTGAGAAACTGCACACTCAGTAAACAGTAATGCCATCGAGAAAAGGATGAAGACTCCAGAGAAGCCTTATTAAGAGATGAGGGGCGGTCTATTGCCAATATTTGAAAAAAGCTAATAGTACATTTAATTAGCCTAATTACATGGTGCTCTTACCGCTTATTATTAATGCCCTCTGACAAATGTATGTTACCCTGGCCTTGAAAGCTCGCTGGCCATAGTGCCTTGAAATGAACTTGGATAACATCCAGGAGTTTCCATTAGTCCCATATGTTTTGCAACAAAGCATCAGTAATATGCACAGAGTACATGTTGGTTAAAAATGTGATATCCTTAAACATTCAAGTTTTTCTGCTTGGTGCATTTAGCTAACAGAATGTGTTTCTATGATCACTTGGAGAAAGACTCAGAGCGACATAACAGCAAATTCTCATCGCATACCATTCAAATGATAATTAAGGCTGTCACGAATTAATATCCAACCCACTACTATTCACTCTACTACTATTCCTTTAGCACTAATGCTTCCAGTCTGCCCATACATGCTCAAAATCCACTCAAATCCGGCATTTTAACCAAAAAGCATACTAATTTTATTACCCTGTGTAGCAATCCTCATCCATGTTCAACATGCCAGTAACTTTTCATACTGACGTTTGGGATTTAATGCAACTATTCATGGGAAGTGAAATATCTGGAACACAGGATCCTGTGAACTCTCGGTACCAAGTTTTATTTGTAAAACACTGTAGGGATTACTGTCTTTAAAGAAAATTCCATATCAATAAAATATGAAGAGCTGTTTTCATTTCAGATATTCAACTTGTATGCATTCTTTCAAGTTTTTCTACTTAGAAGGTTATAACTGCAATAAAAATTGTACTGAGTTAAAACATTTTACAAAACACTCTATCCCATGAGAACCTCTTAAAGGTTGGTTTTAAGCCTGAGGTTCAAGGTTGAATTGATAGAAAAGAACATTTTATCCTTTCTCATTTAAATAAATAAAGCAGCATCCTGAATACACACTACAAGTGCACATGAATTTTTCTTTTGAAATTTGGCAATGAATTTCTGCATGATGCTTCTTTGCTTTTTGGGGATAGGATAGTGATGGTGATTTTCTGTCAAATAACCGTCGCTGTTGTTTTATTGGTTAAAATATCATACGTAACTACCCTCAAATGAATGTGGATGAGTTGCAGGTGACAACATATTTAAGTAATTTATAGATGTGTATGGATGCTCTTCCACATATGCAATTTTAAAAGCCTGTAAGATGAATATAAACAGATATCTGTTCTTATTTTTTTTGATAAACCGAACTAACAGCCTATATTGTAAGATAAAATAAAAGGTCAGTCTGGTATCAAGCCACATCTAAAATAAAGGAAACAATCATTCTTTATTATTAATAGACCAGTTGAGTAATGATTCCAGGGAGGAGGTACAATAACATGACTTTATAAAAGCTCACAGTCGTGACTATCACAAAGAATAACCACCAAGGAGGTGGACATTGTACACCTAGGTGAAGTCTACACAGATCCAAAGAAACGAGTGGGCTACTAAATAGAGTGCTGCATCCATCAGTAGATTGACAATTTAAACCTAAGAAATTAACTTGTACCAGGGGAAATCCTGGATGGAATTTAAGGCAAACATATATTTTAAAAATGATTCTTCTCTTGGTGGAAAAGATGAATGATAGCTTCCAAATTGTATTCCCTAATCTAAACACTCATAATAAATTAATTTTTCTAAAGAGACCATTAACCACTTAGGGACTATGTATTTATGTACTTGTTTGCATCATACTAGTTTTAAGAACTGCCTCAAGAGAAAGGAGGAGCACTAACTGAATAATCAACGCTGCTTCTTTTTTTGGGTAATTCGTTACAGAACCCGCCTGACCCTAGTTAACTTGTATACTGGGAAGTACATATCACACAACACCATAGTTTCAGGCTTTGAAAGGAAAGAAGTATAACACAGTAGAAAATTAAAGTTTTGATTACAGAATGTTCCCTGCTAGCAAATAAAATTTTGTAAATTCCTGAAGAATTTTAGCCAAAGAAATACAAATACCCTTCCTCATAGGATTGTTAAATCTGTTTGAAATTAATTTCTTTTGCTGAGGAAGATTCGCCCTGAGCTAACATCTGTTGCCAATCTTCCTCTTTTTTTGTATGTGAGCTGCCACCACAGCATGGCCACCGACAGGCAAGTGGTGTAGGTCTGCACCTAGGAACCAAACTCGTGCAGTCCAACGGAATGTACCAAACTTAACCACCAGGCCACCGGGGCTGGCCCTTGATATAATTTCTTATAGTCAATCTATCTCCAACTTGTTAGGTATTAACTATATGTGAATACACCCTGCCATTGTTATCCTATTATTAAATATTGCTATTTTTATCAATAGTGTCTACCTTACAATATCCACATTTAGATATATAAATACATACTTAAAATTTTTTTTCTCATTACTTTTGTTAAATTCAATAAGCATGACTAAGTGCATCCACAAGAAGTGATTTCTAACTGGGTGGACGCGCTTGAGAGAACCACTAAGCTTTAGAAGAAATCTGGTATAAATGCTTATGATGCCGACAGGAAAAATCTATTTGTTGTGATTCAATCATATGATTTTTGAACCTTTCCATGCTAACAAATATTGTCATTCATCCTTGCCTACAGGAATACTTATAGTCCTCAAACAGTAAAAGTATGTTTTAAGAATTTCTTTCAAATACTGCTGAAAAATCAGTTTTTTTTTATGATGCCCAAATTTGATGATAGAATTTCCAACCCTTCTTCTTCCTTTCTTTTTATTTGTTTTAGTTCTGGTGAAATAGAACAAACAAAAATACTTCACTATATTTCCCTGTTAAAACTTATCTGCTAGATTTTGGGCACCGGTAAAGGGCAAATAGAATACAAATACAATATATTCTTTTCCGCACACAGAACCATCAGGCAACTTCATTGTGTTCTTTCACATATCCATGGGTTATATCACGAAGAGACCTGAATACACCCAAGGGGGGAGGGTGGGCAAGGACCAGTGTGTTAAAGCCAATTATGTATCATACATTGAAGTGCACGTTAACTACTTGAAAAAATTCACATTTATTTATTGTCAAACCGTGTTAAACTTTACACTGGATATTAGTGATGGGCTCATTATTAACAGGTTTACACAAAGGGATGAAAAGAAAAGCAGAATTTTGCTGAAACAATTTACATTTCATTAGAACTTTATCATAAAATAAATTAATTACTAAATATAGGCAGAAGGAATATGGAAGAGTAATATTTATGTTTTATTTTATTTTTTAAAAAAGAATAGGCACCTTTTGTTCACTAGAAAGTTTGTGAGAAGTGCCCGGTGACTGCCCTCTCTGCCCTCTGTTCAAGAATCAACAGGGGGTGACACAATCTTTTCTAGATTTCACCACATTTGTGCAAGGCATGGCATAACTGGCTTCAAAGAGTTTTTTCCCCATAAAACACGCTCTTTTGGCAATAAGAAATTTAAATGTAAGAATAAAGACTAACTTGTCAAAGCAGAACGCTGTATACAGTGGAAAGTAAGTGAAAATGGGCAGAAGTTACCGTGACAAAGTGTAAGAAAAAACATTTCATAACGTATGTGCAACCAAGAGCTTTTCACAATATTTTCTTCAAACTCTTTAAAATTATTTTAATGACAATTATATTTCAGTTGGACACAAATGTATTTATTTTACCCTAGCAATAGAACAAAATATAATTTCTTTAGCCATTTTTCATGAGAATAGTTCATTGTACAGTTGAGGAAACATATGAAATAAGGCCTGTGGCTTGATTGCTAGTGGTTTAAACATGTTTTCAATCTTTGCCTTAATGGAAAAGATTTGCAGTGAACTGCAAACTGATGCAGAATAGCTCTCCTGCTTTTCCAAGTCTTGTCAGGAACAGTAAGGTACAGTAAGTTTGTCCCACAGGATTTTAAAGCCTACGTCTTGTATATAATACAATGCAGGCCTACAAAAATGGTGCAGCCATATTTACAAATTTAGTTCACAAACTGCTGCAGTAAATGGCTGGAAAGTTTTGTTTCGCTTGTTTCACAATTTGTCTAAACAGCAGCAGAATCTTAAAATACCTGGTTGGCATCTCTTTTCTCTGTAACAAATAATTCATTTTAGTATACTCTGTGTATATACAAAGTTTCTGTATGTTTTATAAAAATTCACAGAACGGCAAGGTTCAGTCATCTTTTTTACACTGGAGAACCACAGGTCAACGGAGCCAGGTCTTCAAGCAGAGGCTGAGGGAGCTGCATGAGGCCGGTGGAGTCTCTATTTATTAATACTTGCATGTGGCCCTTGGAACCCCTTAGCTGCACTATTAAAGACTTGTGACCAGCTGCATCTGTCCTTCTCTAACATCTCCTTCTGGAATACACCCTTCTTTGTTAATGGGGATTATGTAACCATCGCTATTGCCCCTGCTGATCTGGTAGCACATCTGAAGCTGATGGCCAGCGCCAAGGTTTGGCATGCTCTTATAGTAAATGTCCTCGTTCTCACTCCTCCTGGAGGGAGAGAGGTCTTCTTCCATGTCGGGGCTGCTCTCCGGATAGGGAGAGTCTCTGAGATTGGGCATGCTTGTATAAAGAGAGTCTCTGTTGGGGGACTGCAGGTGGTCCTCAGCCTCAGCCGTCAGCTGGGAGACATAGCTGTCAGTGCCCTCGGGCTTCACTTTCTTCTGGGGTTGGTACAGAAGGGAGTGAGTCCGCTGAGGGATGAGCGGTGCCTCGAGTTCTTTGTGATGGAGCTCCAGCCCTGGGTTGTCGCCGTGCATTAAAGATGAGGCGTCGGCCACGATGGCGTCATCTTCACTGCTGCTACCTCCAATCACAGGTTTGACTGGTAGTGTGAGCTCGAGGTTGTGGCTCTTGCTGCTGCCCCGTAGGTTGTTGTGCACTAACTCTGAAATGATCATTTTCTCGAAAGCAGTATCATTCAGACTTAGTCCACAGTCCACGACTTGCACGCTGTCATTATAGTCCCCCTTGCGCAGTGAGTAGCTGTTGTTAAAATTACCATTTAGCGGTAGAGTATCCATGGCACTTGTATCCCTGGCATTGTTCAGTGAATGTCCTGAAACAGAAAAGGGGGGTTTCCATTACTGCCTCTGTTCCTCCCTACAGGATGTCTACTTCTTTTGTACAAGACTTTTTAATGTCGTTCAGGACAAAGTTGTATTTGAAAGCTAACACTTGAAAAGTGCCAGGCTTTCCCGCATTCCCAACTGTAAACAGTTGCAACCCCTTATATAATAGGAAAAAGTGTGAAAGAATAATACTGTTTTTCAGGGAGGGAAGATGGCATAACAGAATATTACTTGATCAATTTTGGGGAGATGGTAGTTATTAATTGATTTTTGGTCAAATCTCTGACACTCTTAGAAAGTAGCCTTCACTCCATGTCCTTGCATAGTTAATGCAAAGCAATTCATTAGTGACATTTACATTTTAAAGTATGAGACTATGGTCTATAAAAATAAAATTAACAGAATTTGTCCTAAACAACACTAAATTAAAAAGGAATAAGTCACATACAAAAACTGAAGGCAAATGTACCACATAAACCCACAGAACTGGCAAGCAACTTGTTAAACGACATTCTAACATTTCCTTTTTCTGGAGATGAAGTAAAAAAAAGAATGAAAAAATGGACAGATACAAAGAATTCATGTTCAACAAAGACAGCCATCTCTCACACTGACTGGACCAGGGGCCCACAAGCACCATCCAACAACACGATAGACAGCAGGTGGGGTGACTCACTTTGGACAACTCACATCATGTCTGTCTGCTCAGGCTATCTGGCCTAAGAGTAGCTGATATATAAAAGAAAGTAAAATGATTTATTGTAACATGATGAAGAAGTTCTAAGCTTCTCAGCAACTTAGTCAGAGCAAGGGTTCAACAAATTAGATTACCAGCAATAGCAGCCTTTTACTTTTGCATTGAATATTTCTTATTATTTTGATTATTATGATTATTTTTGGGGACTAATACTCTAATAGCAATGGCCCCAGGCTCCTAACGGTCAGAGTTGGCCTGCAGCCCTGCAGTCTGCATCAGTCACAGTGACAGCACCGAATGAACCAGCAGAGTCTACTATCCGAGACTGGCCCACAGACACCATGGGCATGGAAGTTCAACGCAGAAATGTTAGAGATCTCTTAAGTATGGGTCACAGAAATTAAACCAAGAATAAATATTTAACTATGGAATGGGAAAAGGGTGTCAGCCTCAGCTAATATATTTTTATCTCTAGAGGAATGAAAGATCAGATAAGTCTGCTGAAGATATGAAAAGAGGTTTAGGAGGAAAAAAAATGTGGTAACATGCTCTCTTTGAATCAGAGTTGTATTTTCTACAGACACATAAACATGTAAACTAAGACATCACAGTGCTTCTCAGGCAAATGAAAAAAAAGTCTGAGAGAAAATGAAATGGTCTGCACCATGGAAGTTACGTTAGTCACTTTCAAAATCCTAGAGAAAAAAAAAAAATCACGTCTACAGATAGGTCTGGAAAAAAAAAAGAATGAAATGATGTTATTGAAATGAAACTGACCACTGTGAGGCTGCTGCATTGTATGCAAGGCTTGGAGGAGTTTAGGAAAAAATTTAGTTCTTGGAAAAAATACGAAATTTCCCTTTTTGGTGCTTACTCCGCTCTTAAAGCTGCAGATTATCCTAGAAAACTCAATTTCACGACCAATAAATATCTGATAATCGTTCAACAAATTATCATTAGCAGAAAATGAGAAAATGGGAGGATTCTATTTGTTGGCGACTCATGTTATTTTAAAAACTCTGATCCAACTTCCAAATTTGAAAGACTGACAACTCAATTTGGTTCATGCTCCACATAGAACAAAATGAACTTATAATAGTTATTTGCATTGCAAGGCCTCCTTGAGCTTGGTTGACACAATTCTCCAGCTTTATAAATTTATCTATGTGCCACAATCTTTATTCTAAGATTTACCACCAGAAAACATTTGGTGTTTTAAGTTATAGGTGACACATGGATCACTTGCTGGCACTTGTTTCCTCTGTGAGGTTCGATCTTGTCATTTTTCTTTCCTTTGATTGTTGCTTAATAAATATAAAAATATATACTGGATAATCCAAAAGCTGTTTTCTATGATATACTGCAGATTTAAGCACATCTTTGGTTTTGAAGAGGCAACTTTTTCTGCTCAAGTTCAGGTAATTCACTTGAAGACTTTGCCCAGCCTGTAGCAAGATTACTGTGGGAATGCAGAAAAGGTAAGTCAATTATTCAGTGTCCTGGTTGACAGTACTTCAAGTTTGAAAGAGCAAATTATTTCAGCATTGCGTATACTTAAGTACGGACAGCGTTTGCTACAGACCTCTATTACTGACAAGACAGTACAGAGAGATGTACTGTTTGAATTCGGTAACATTTTAGTTGCAAATTGTGAACCACTTGCCCGCTGAGTCTACTTCATGACTGCTAGTTATGTTTTTAATTGTGCCGGTTAAAAATCATGCTGAAAAAATTTACATTTGATAGGCAAAGTTAAGTTTTACTCCCATACTTGTCTCTCTGTAGGTTGCTAGAGGAAAGCATAAGGAAAGTAAGAAAAACAAGAGAATGAAAAGAGAAGCTGCAGTTACGTTAAAAAAGAATTTTAAGAAAAAAAACGGAAACAAAGTTCTGTGTTTAATTTAGTGGCAAACATCAATCACAAATAAAGATTATACGCTAGCAGTAATTATGTGATAACTTTTATCAAAATCTTGAAAATTCTATTAATATTAAATATATATGCTTTTTTAAAAAACAATAAGCTTTTAGAAAACATAGTAATACAGGATGGGTTAGTGACAATCTCTCCCCCTCCCCCCAATAAAAAACTATAGGGATAAACTGACTAATACTAACTTTATTCTCAAAGTTTTTTCAGAAAAAAGAAAAACTACCATAAAGCTGCACTATACTATAGTTTGGTTACATTGATAAGGCTGGGTGTAGTTTTCTAAACCTAGGCATCCAAATTATCTTTATTAGCTAATTCATTCCAGAAGCAAATTCTGTCAGCAAGCTTTAGAGTCAACTGAACAGTACATTACATAGATAGGATACCTCTAAATGATATAAATCTTGAAGATGGGCTCTCGGACCATGTGATGTCAGTCCTGTAATAATATATTAAGATTTATGCCACCTGTGTCAAAAACATGGATAATTATTGGTAAATACTATCATGACTGAATTTTTACTATAATATAGTGCAGTTTTAGAAGCCTGGCATGGGCAACACCATTAACTCTTTTTAATTGAGAAATTAAGGACGTAATAATAAATATATGGCAACTTGAGTATTCTAGGAAAAGGGCAAAGATCACAGCTCTGTTTAGCAGCAAAGAAAGGCAGTCTTATTTGTAAGTATAAGCACACCTGGTGAATTAAATACAGGAGCTGAAGGGGCATTACATACAACTGTTTCAGCGAGCAATGTGTTATAGGGGTTGTTAGTGCCGTGGGGTCGAAGAAGAGGGTTTGTTAGTAGGTAATTGCCAGTCATTCCTAAAGCAAAGAAACAGAAAAAAATACATCAGTTCTCTTATTTTAATGTTACAGTTGCAGTAAAGTACTTTTTGTATTCATCAAGGGTAGTGGACAAGTTGGGAACGGAAACTGCTGAAATTTTCTGACTCTATTTGAACTACTAATTTGAAGGAGAAAGGGGAGAGGGAAGTTAAATTTCAGTGATTCACAGGTGCTTTCTAAGTCCCCCAAGTAAACACCTGCTGAGGATGACATTTGCTAATTTATACAAAATCACTGTTAAACAAAAATGGCAATTAAATGCACGGAGATCAACATTATGTTTCAAGATGTTACTGCTTAATATTAAAAACCTAACCACTGAGGCCCAGAAGAGGGAATCTCGAACTTTCAGAATTTACAGGTGTGGGATTATCCCTCCTGAAAACATCTGCGTTAATACCAACTCTGATACAAGCAGGAGGAAAAACAACTTTCACAAACAGGTAAAAAGTATGACACATGGCACAAAGCTTCTCTTAGTAAATGCGGGAGCACACATGCCGGGGGGGAAAAAGAGACAGCGTATAATGAATATTAGACCATTCACAAATTCTGTGTAACGAGAATTTTCATTCTGTAATCTCATTTGCCAGGTTTCAAAAATGAATCATTGAATAATTCATTTCCTTTTTGATAGTCATCTTAACAGAATTAGGTAAAACATCAGAGCAATGGAATAAACACACATTTCACTCATTCTAATTGACAAATTACAAACCTTTCAATACTTATCAAACATATGTTTTGCATAGCTAATGCAATTTGACTAAAATATTTTAAAATTCAAGTTGGTCTTGATGCCATACGTACTCCTTTTTTCATTTTAAACCAGAATCTCATCAGAACAATGTCAACAATGAAAAATGTCTTTAATATTTCATTGTGATAAAATATATATTACAAATTGGTACATCAAAACTGAAATCACCTGGATAAATTACCTTTCCAGGGATATAAACAATAAAACATGTTCGACTTTTTTACACCAAATTGAAATTTACTAAGCTTGCATTTAGGAAAACGTGTGTGTACGTGCACTCATGTCCTTATCTTGCTAAATTATCTTATTTGCCAGCTTACTTAAAGTATGAATTACAATGATTATATGATAAATCTAAAGCTGTAATTGTAGACATTAAAAACAGCAATTCAAATTTAAAAATTACTTTGTAAATTCTCATGTATTTTAATTATTTATGCAGATTTACTATAAATGTTTTGCCTTATTTTTTACTCTGAAAGAAATATAAAAGAATTTTTCAAATAATTTTCACGGCAAGATCGGCACTATTTAATGTGAATAGTAGTTATTCTAATTATATTAATGTTTTAAGAAGAAAACTTTCATAAATGTCCTGGTGAGAAAGGATAAATTTGTACTCACTAGGAAAACATTTTAATCTGTGGCAAAGTATTTACTTCTTCTGGCCTTAGTTTGTTAAATGTGGAGTTTAAAATTATACTTTTTGCATTACATTATTGAATAATATACATTAATAAAGGATAAATAAAGGGTAAAACTTGATTCAACAGGTTTAAGAGCTTGTGATATAAACCCATTTGCGAGAAAAATTCAGCATTTTCTCTAGAATTATTGTAAATTGGCAAAAGGTACAAAATTTATATTGTAAATTCAAATTTTCCTAGTAACTGACCTTGATTAAGTGTTGAAGTGCTATTGATGTCACCTGAGATAAAAGAAGATTCAGATTGCTTTCTCACAGTGTCATTCCACATCCTTCTTATACGACTCTATTAATATAAAATAGCAAGACATATGTTATGTTAGTTTCCCCAATAAAGACACACAAAGATTTACTCTAAACAATCTGTGTAGGATTATCTGTTGGCCTTTAAAAAAAAAAAATGTGTGTTGATTCTGGTCTAAAACTAAGGAAGTCCATACTGCTCTGTTGCTTCTCTACAAAGAAGTATTTGACCTTCCGCTCTGAAACATTTTCTTTTATTGCCTTTTTTTAAGTGGAGATGACTGATTATTCATCAAATGTTTATTGAGTGTGCCTTACGAGAGAGCTGTGCTATACGAGCTTAGGAGATCCAAAGGCTTATGATACACTTCTTAAAGAAGTATACCTCTCACAAAAACGATGTTCACACCTAAAGACCTTGAAGAGATACTTAAGAAGAAATTAAAACTAAAATACTAAAAAAGCAAGTATTTGCTACCTAGATCATCACAATGAGGAGACACTTAGCGCAAGTGAATAGAACACGTCTCAGTAGGGTTTCTCTAAAGAAGGTTAATTAAGGATGCTCTCAAGTTCCTTGTTACCTGGGTGCCGGAGGAGTACCGGGCGCTGGTTCTGGTGGTTGACGCCTTCACTGAGCTGTGGGGGCTCTCAGTTGGGAGGCTGCCGCAGCAATAGGAGTGTCGGAAGCACTTGCCATATTCTTTCCGTACCTGCATTGAATACCCACGAGACCCAGGGATTAATAGAAACAGATTTGCCTCCCTCTCACTCTCTAATGAAATGAGCACTGGAGACAACTGAGAAGAATTTAAGTTCCACTAATACTGTTCCATGGAGAAAATAAACTGAACTTACAAAATCAAGTTGAATTGAAACTGCTGAAACAGAAATCAGAAAAATATGTGTCCACTAGACTGGCTGGTGGGGTCTTTAAAATGTGATGTAACATGTAGAAATGCTCTACACCTGTTATTGTTATGCAAATATTATTAATACACTAGTATTTTAAAAGCCTTATTTTATCTACATACTTAGCAACCCGAATTTTACATTTTGTGCTAAGAAAATAGGACCAAAAATTACTATCTTTCTTGCTTAATTACATTTAACCACTCATAATTCAGTCATTTAAGTTTTATACGTTTCCTGTCCTCTTAGGTAGGTCAACACATAAACTTCTTTTACTGTATTGCATAGTTTTGCGGGTAACCTCTTTATAATGACAAGAGTGCTTTGGCGCAAGAATAAAGGGAAAAAAGTACTTTGATACATATGCCATTAATGAGGATGGGATGTTTTCTTCATTTTCTGATGTGTCTAGCTTTAACATTTAGTGCAGAGAGCCTAAGATGCCTATTCACTTCATTAGCACACAAGGGAACTATTTATGCAATTTCCATTCACATTAATGAGTTACCCATGTAATTTCCCTTTTCCCCTGAAGCTTGAATATATGAATAGACAGAAAAGTTGTTAGGCCTAAAGAAAGTTTAGAGTAAACTTTAAAAAGTGAAGTCCAAACAATTGCTAAATACTAGGGTTCCGCCTGCAGAGGTGGTACAGAGTTGGGAGGACCAGGGGAGAGAGCTGGACTCTGTGCAGCTAAATTGGCATATAAACTTGTTTTCTTGTGGCTTCCATTGAGATTTTGAAATTACAAGACTGACATGAAGGAGAAGTCATATACAAAATGATTTTTTCCACTAGGTTACAAAAAACACTCAAAAATTTTTTCTCCCCTCACACTTTTATGTTCAGTTATCTGCCTGCAAAGACCATAAATCTGACACGCATTCCTTGCAAAATCAGAGAATTAAAGTCACTAGATGACCTTTTAAATCTACGTGCACGTGCATTTTCATCCTCTTAACTTTATTTAATTACATCTATTAGAACAAATAACAATGGGTTGAACTTTTAAAGTATTTTCTTTGCCTACATAAGCTCACTCAAGCAGTAAGAATCATGATTTTAACTAGACCATTTTATATCATGTTCTTAATAATTCATCCTAGCAATACCCCATAGGACATTCCAAGATTAAGCAGAACATGTCCAAAAAACGTGCAACGTGATGCTTTTAAAATGTAACTGTTAATTTAAAAAAGCATATAAAACAGCAAATCTCTTTGTTCAATGAATCCACGTAACTCTACAAGGAAATAATGACGGCCTCACCTTTTCTCTGCTAAGTTTACGCTTTATGTCAAAAACATTTGGCAGAAATTATGGCTACATGATCATATGCATGTATACAAAATGTTCATTTACATAGAAAAGAACAAAGTAATTACAAGATTATACCTGTATAAGGTTTAAAAAATTAAAGTTCAGTGTTATTATTAAATAACACATGATACCTCACAAAAACTTTCTGTACATTGAATGGCTATTAACTACTCTGAAATGCTGTATAACCAAGACAACGGCAATCAAAATGATATTTTATCCAAATAACACCCTCCAGTGTGGGTTTTGCCTAATGCCTATATTGTTGTGAATGTACATTATCTGTCAGTATTGCACATTCCTCTGTCATTATCTCAAAATTATAGCTTATTCAAAACTGATGGAAGTAACAACACTATCATCTCGTCAGGACTGAAAACATAATAGTTTTCACTTTCACAATTCTATTTCTCTGTTCAATTTAGTGACCAACTAGTAATAACAGAATAAAAAGACTACGTTAGATATGCAGACAGGGAGAGGTTGATACCTAGTGAAAGGCATGGAAATTTTAAACTTAAATGGCAGCTAAGCTTTATATCTCCTTGCAACAGACTAAAGTTTTTCATCTTCAACTTTAATTTTTGAATCATTTTTGCTGACTGCACTTAACATAAAATCAGAACAAAATAATAAGATGTGACACATGAAATTATTGGGGTTTAGATCTTTCAAAATTACTCAAAAGACAACATTAATATTAATTTTTTGTATGTCTGGTGCTTTTAAAATTAAGGTCATTTATCTTTATACTCAATGTTTTCAATCACTGCATTCCCTTTATAGAGCAAAGAATGAGGTTGTTTAACCTATTCTTTATCTTGGATACCCTTTGCACAAAGGGTTTTTGTAGACCCCCCTAGCAAAGAAGAAATCTTAAGTATGGAGTTTATAACACTCCCAAATTGAGATCCAAAAGATGATTGGTAATGACATATTTTACATGTGAAGCCTTAATTTCCAGTCATGCATTACAATTAATTTACGACTAAAAATATGATGCTATTTAATAATACGCCAGTTGTAAAATCTTCTGTATCCTATCTCTTATTTTCAAACCAAAGGACAAGCAAGCAGAGCCCCTAGGTGTTTCCATTTCCACTTACTTTCTTTTGGAGAGCACAATGAAAGATGAAAATGAACACTCCCTGGAAAGCATTAAAGATGGTGAAGAGATATGCCATCACAATAGTCTCCTCATTAATAAAAAGCAACCCAAATGACCAGGTTAGGCCAAGAAGACACAGGAGAGCGAAAGCACCAAGCACCCAAGACCTGAAAAGATAAAGTGAATGTTATGAACAGGTTCAATGGGAGAACACCACGAATCACACTTAAACAGTAACATGGCAGTAGGAGCAGTGGACTTTCCCTATGTTCACATTCAAATTCAACAGCATTTTGGCTTTAACCTTTCACTGATTAAAGAGAGAACAATAGCATTTAGTACTGCAGCCTCCAGTGAAAACAGCAACAGCAGGTATGACCTTTTCTTACTCCAGAATAAACGAGGTATCAAAACTATATGAAAATACAAGGTGTAAAACATCCCCCATGACTTTATTGTCTTTTATGTGCATTTTGGTAGAGGAAATTAAGGAGCCCTTAATTAGCTTACTTCTATATTTTTATTCCTGTGGTGCACTCACGACACTGAATAATGTGACACATACAGAAAGGTTAAATGGCAGATAATCACTTAACACCTAAACTTCAGATTCTAATAAACTAATCTTAGGTGAACCTAAGGTTTTACAACTGAAGCATGAAGAAGCCTGGCTGAAATGGGACAAAAACATGAGAACAATTTCAAAATAAAATAATTTTGGAGAGATTTCATCATGAATAGCTTAAGGAGAAAAGAACTGTAGAAAATAGGGCGGAATGAGAAGGATTCAAAGTCAGTGCATTCCATGTCTAACTAATGATCTTACTTGATAAATGGCTTATTATCTTCATAGCTAGAAAGCATTATAAGCAGAAAAGAGAAACAAAATTATTAGACAGAATTAAAATAGAAAGTAATAAGAAAGCATTTATATATTTATAAATTAGTCAAAATTAAGAAAGTCAAAATGCAGAGGCAAGCAATTAAAAAATAAAGGCATATTATTGTTTAAAAATACTATAGCAAATTAGATATTCAAAATAATTATAAAAATTAAGGGCAATTCATGATATTGACGGATTTGTAGAAAATATAAATCATGCCATAAATTTGTTAATGTAGGGTTCTACCTTACCCAGGTAAGTCCGTATTATAGTAGCCATCACAAACACGGTAATTACTGGTGTAGATGAGAAGACAGAAAGAGGAAAAGGAAGAAAAGAGAGAGATGCTAAAGATTAGCCCTCTCTCTTACCATGCAACATGCAATGAAGCTGGCACTAACCTATCTAAAACACCTAATTTTTTAAAAAATTACCCTTACTACAGATCTGCCATTTTTTACATTAAAAAAAAAATATTCTTCGCAGTCCCCTTATAACCAACTTGAATAATACCTCCCCAAATTTTAAATTAACTCATATTTAAAAGATAACTGAAAATGCTTCCGTAAGATGACTTAATGAATCCAGAGCTATCAGTTTTTTGTTAATTAGATAGCATTTCTCCGTTGATGAGATAGTGCAGTTTTTATTCAACATTGAAATAAAGTAAACAACTATTTAATTATCATGAAAACAACAGATAATCTCCAAGTTAACCATAATAATAGACTAAATTCTCTGAGGAAAACAGGATTAGAAGTAGAAACTGCTCAGAATCCTTAAATCAAAAAAGTCATTTAACAAAACAAACTTAATATAATCATATCAGCCATGCAAAGAGAAACATCATTTTGCACTGCATTTTAAATTCAAATGAAATTGCTACAGTGATATGGAATTTCCACCAAGCCACGGAAATAATTTCTTGGCTCTAGATCAAGACAGCAATTATCTCATTTTTGACCAATATCTGTGACATGGTAACAGCGAGACTCAACCTGGATCATTCTGAATAATTTCTACAGTTGACAGAAGGTATTCACGTATTCCCTGTGGAGAATATCTTTCACTTAGTTTGTCAAGCACTAAAATTAAAATTCAAAATACTCACTTAATGTTTTCCAACCTGCTAGAATCTGGTTTCAAAGTGTTTGAGTGCTTCACCATTTTGCACAATGTGATCACCAGGAAGATAACATTTAGCTGTTATAACAAATAAAGAAACAATTAGACCATTATGACCAAAGAGTGAACAATTAGTCAGTTTTTTCAAATATATTTAATGAGTGAATGCAGTTAACTATCCATGAGATGAGTATGTGGTAGCCACTGATTCGATTTTAGTTCCCACACACAATGATCAAGTTGAGTTTAAACAAAAAATACTCGGGCTATGTATGATCGATATTTTAATAGATCATTTGACATGAAATTGCAACCTCATTAAATCAGTACCATGTGGTGATGATTAAATAAATTAGAAAACCTAAATCAGTTTCTTTAGCTAGAGGTACTCCAGGGCCTAAAAGCCATCTATTGGAAACACGGAAGTGAACTGCTTAGATGGGGCATTTACATTACGTAGCTTATAACAGAAGGGTTCCTGGATTTGGGACCCTAAGACTTGGCTCAGACTCCAGCTCTTGATTTTGATTGATTAAATGAGGATAATAACATTTGCACAATCTATGTGCAAGGTAATTGTGAGAATCAAATGAAATCAAACAAAAAATGTTCGTTAGTTATATGAAGTAAGATAAACTCTAAAAATATATATATATATATTTGCTATTTTACTGTTAAAAGCCATCAGCTCTTTTCCCCTTATGTCTCCATATTGTATGGAAGTAGGTATATTCTGAAGAAAGGCTGTTTTGAGTCCCTCCAAACATTCAGTGGTGCAAAGAATCTAGGTGCAAACAAAAGTAAACTGGGAAAAAGATGGAGCCCGATGCAGAGGGAAGCTTTGGGAGGTGGACATGAGTGAACTTAGAAGGAAAGAGCTGTTTTGACTCAGGAGAGAGAAGGGCTTGTAATTTGCATTTGCTTCTACAGAAACCTGCAGAATGCTGGATGGAGGGAAGGCAGTTCCATTTTTATGTTCTAAAAACAGAACTAACCTAGACGGCTCTTGGATGTTTTTGACATTTTATTTAGTTCGGATTATTACTTTGAAAAAGACAAAACAAAGTTCTTTTGTGAGCTTTATGTGATTCAGAAAGTGCAAGCCCAAATAGTATATTCAGAAAAGGACCCACTATAAGTGGGGACAAAAGCAATTCCTTGGTGGTAAGTAATCAGCAAAGCTTTGTTACGGGAATATGATCATTTTTATTGAGTCACAATACCATCTGATAAAATGATAACATTATTTTACTCATTCATCACTACTTCTGATTTTATAATTAGGAAAAAGGATATAGGACAATAAATAAAATTTCCAGGTCCTTCCTAACGATGAGTTTAGGAAGAGAGTCAAGGCTTTACTTTAAGCTGTGTATCACTCATTTTGTCTACTGTGCCTTACTATTGCTCTTAGATGTAAAATTTTCTCTTAAGAGGTTAATGGGCATAATTTGCAAGTGTTGGCAGACAGCATTCTATTGTTTGATGTTAATTACTTGAGGACAAAAGAAGTTCTTTGTTTAAAAAAGCACTTAAAATTAATTTCTTAAAATACATGTCTAGAGAAAAAGTAAATAAATTTGTAGAAACATTTTCTAGCTTTATATCCTGAAGATTATCCCAACTTTTCACAATATAAACAAATAATTACATTCGCAAGGATATTACAATATTATGCATTTCATTCAACAAATATTTATTGATCTTATTGCTCCAGACAAGAATGTGCTTATTGTGTTGTGGGTAAGACACAATTTCTGCGTTTGAGAAATTAGGGAGATCCTTCTGGTGGTATGGTAAATATTTGACCTGGTTTTTAAACAATCATCTCTAATTTTCTTTAAAAGGCAAAATCAATAGCGTTCTTATTTTTATTTTATGCTCCAGAAAGCCTTAACTTGTAAAATTAAGGAATGGTTAAAACAAGAACTCTAAATATCCTAAGAACAAACAAACAAAGCAAAACCCATGTAAACAGACCAACTGACTACAACCCTTAGGAAAGAAAAGCAGCTTTACAGATTCAGAGTTAAAAATCCTTTAAACCTCTCAACTCCTCTTTTTGAACATACCTAATAAACCACTAATTTCCTTTATTCCAAACTTTAGACCCAGAGTTGTTTCCTGTCCCACTACCCCCACCCACTGCTCCTTTTTTAAAAAAGATTTCCTGAAGCATACAGGGCCACAATTTGGTGTTCATTATTTTCTAAGCATATTAGTTATCCCCTCAGGAATAAAATAACAGTAGTAGTAGTAAATTCCAGAAAGGAGAAAAGTTATTATACATGAATGTACAAGTTACAAGAAAATAAGGAATGTGAAAAAATGTTGGATGTATTAAGTATTATGCTATGAAAAGAAAACGAGTAGAAAATGTGACATCTTAGAGGTGAACTCATCCCAAAGTATTTTTCAATGAAGAAAATTAGATAAAAAAACATTAAGAACTAACAAGAATTAGTTTTCCAATAAAACTGAAATGAAAATAAAATCTACCTATATAAAAATAGAATTAAAGCTTAAATATGACACAAAGACATTTCTTTCTTGCTAAGACAGAGGACTAACCAAGATGAATGTGCTACAGAAAACTTATCTCATTTAATTCTGAAAACACAGACTGTTAGATGCATCTCCTCTTCTTTTCCCCTCACCCTACTGAGGTTTTTAACGTTATGTATGTGTTTAGTGTTTCTTTCTAGTTACAAATATAATAGATTGACAAGCCGTACAAGTTCAGAAAAATACAGGAAAAAAAATCCAACAACCTATAATCTCATCTCCAGAGGTAGCAGGAAGCACTTGGATAACGATATTACAAATCTGAGATGCTGAGTATCTTGCCAAAGATTACATAGCTATATAATGTCAGTCCTGAGATTCACTAAACTGTGGTCTGGCTCCATAGCTCAGTCTTTCCAAATAAAATTAATCAATTTATTCTCATTTCAGTGAGAAAATTAGGAGTCTTCTAACAAAGCAAAGATATACTAGTATTATTTTTTTAAAAAAGGTTCCACATCTATAAAAAGTAATTCAATTTAGAAATCACTCAGAGATGACAAATGAAGTTAAAGATAAATAATAAATTAATAGGGGGCTGGCCCCGTGGCTGAGTGGTTAAGTTCGCGCGCTCCCCTGCAGGCGGCCCAGTGTTTCGTTGGTTCGAATCCTGGGCGCGGACATGGCACTGCTCACCAAACCATGCTGAGGCAGCGTCCCACATGCCACAACTAGAAGAACCCACAATGAAGATTACACAACTATGTACCGGGGGGCTTTGGGGAGAAAAAGGAAAAAAATAAAATCTTTAAAAAACATAATAATAATAAATTAATAGATAAACTACAGCCTCAAGAAATTCTGGACAACTTAAGAGATGTGCTCTTCAGGCGGCTTCCCCCTGATGGACTTGCCAGAATAGCTGATTCTCCATTTTCTTTGTAAAACACTACCATCCCATAATCAGCAAATGGTTAAAATAACCACACACTTCTACTCCCGCTAGCCAAATGGTATGTTTAACAACAGTTGGTTGCGTTTTCTCAAACCTGTTTGTGTTAATTATACTCACATGGCTAAATACCACACAAACCTATAAAACCTGAGAGCAAAAAAAAAAAAAAAGCTGTTGTTTCCAACATACTTAGATTAAATTCTTCAAAAAGACCTTTAAAAGCAACTAAAAATACTAGAAAAATAATCGCAAAACCACTGGATTTTTGCATTTGGATTGTTTCACAAGTATCTGTGAATTTTCCAATTTAAAGAAACTGAAAATAAAACTCATAGCCAATGCACTAATATTTAGGTTGCCAACAAATTTATAGCGAAATCCAACACTAATTTAGCCTTTGAAATATGACTTGAAGATATACAAATAATGAGGCAATGGTATCTTAAATAAGACAAAATACCACCATTTTAAGACAAAGCAATTATGAAAAAAGGCATGAAAGACATACTGTGAATCATAATATAAAGGGGCAAAAAATGCTAAACATAAGATATTTTTCTTTTCCTCAATTCCACATTAAAAAAAATAAAAATTTCACTAATGCATATTATTTACTAGTCTTATTAGAGAAATGAAAAAAATACATCATTTAGACATTGAATATTTTAATATGTTATCATTAACATGGATAACAGTGAAACATTTTTGGAATTAAATAGAACATATACTGAACTATAACAAGGTTTTTTTTTTGGTGAGGAAGATTGTTCCTGAGCTAACATCTGTGCCAACCTTCCTCTATATTTTGTATGTGGGAGGCTGCCTCAGCATGGCTTGATGAGCGGTGTGTAGGTCTGCTCCTGGGATCTGACCCCACAAACCCCAGGCCACTGAAGCAGAGTGCACAAACCTAACCAAGACGCCAACAGGCCAGCCCTATAAACAAATTGTTCTAAATGTGGTTTTAGAGCTTATTTTCTCCAATGCTTAAAAAATGTAAATGCTAATTTTTAGTTTCATAGAATAAATATTGCTGCTATGCTCTTTTTGAGAGGTAATACACTATAAGAGTCATGATTTTGTAGAGTAATATATTTCAATAGATTTCTTTCCCTCTCTTCTACTCCTTTCTTGTTCTTTTAAAATATAACTACAGGAATCAGAACAAGAAAGAGGTGGGCAAATGGAAACATCTTTGATTAAATCTATCATCCAAAATAGTTCCTTGAAGATGGAGTAGTACTGGTTGCAAATCTGAGTTCTTTGTTCTTTGCATTTTCCCCATGACATAAATGGTTCCTTCCAGCCATATATTTCTGTGCTTCTTTTTTCATCTGGTTAGAGTAAGTGATTTCTTTCTCCTCACTTTTATTTCTACCCAATTTATTTTCCTGCCTTTGATATGCATTTTAAAAATAAAAGAAATTATAACCATCGAACACGGAATTTTCCCTATTTCTCACCAGAAGGCAGGCAAAAAGACAAGGAGAGAAGAATCTCTCCACCATCCTTCTCCCTTCAATTCCAGTGCAGCCACTTTTTGTCAATTTGTTCTTTATTTTTTCTTTCGAACATCAACACTACTAAGTTTAAACACAGTATTTTAGGATAGTTTGAAAGGTGCTATGCATCAGCAGAAAAGAAAAAAGACAGAGTTACAGACACAAAGATTTGTCTAAACCTGGTTAAGTACATGTCCTTACTCAATCATTCGCATAGAAGCCCCTAGTAAGGACAAGTTAACAGGACCGTCTTACATATCGTATGTCAACTCAGCAGGCTAAATGCCCATACTGATGATTAATATTGGAGATAAGGCAACTTATCCAGAAATTAATCAGAGTTTACCTCTGCTCTGTGTGTGTACACATAGGTAAATAGGTAGATGGATATCTATGTGAAAGCGTGAGAGCAAATTCAGAAGAAAAAAATTTTCTTACTCAGTTAAAAAGAGTAAATCGCCAAACGGGGCATTTTTTCTCTTCCAATGACAAATAATACTCTTTCACCTATCCCAAAATAATAATTTCTTAAATTATTGTTTAAATAATCTGCCAATATAATTTGCTGATAAAATTCGCTACTTAATGATACAGGGTAACTCATTACCACCCATAATGACGATGCGAAAATACAAAGTTTAAAAAAAGGAAGAAATACCACAGATTATGAAAGTGCCCAGTTTGTTTCACAGTCATCAACCTGCTCAATTGAATCACATCCGTCTGAGTTTAGCAGCTTAAAATTCATTCCACAGCTTGCAGTGCTGACATGGATATGATAAGACAGACGAACAGAAACACCACTCTGAAGTAACCTAACTGAACTGCACATGTTCTGACCCTTTTTGTCCTCCCTGGAGCTTTTGCTACCTGGCAAAAGCAACTCTAAAACTGCGCTTGTATCTCCCGATCTTTGCTGTTAGCCAAGCAGAAACCTATTTCTCCCTGGGACTCGCAGCCAGAGAGGTGTTCTCTGAAGAAGACTTCTAAATGAGTGTGTGAGCTGAACTCTTACTGAACTGAATTAATTATTAACGATGCAGATGGAGCTGTCCAAATGATAAGAACAGCTCCTGACGTGTCATGATCCAAGCTTTCATTAAACCATTTCAAGCATACTAATGGTTTCCCACTGCTCATTACTTACAAGCACTTTTCTCATAGATATAATAACTCCAGTGCCTGTAGGCAAGACATTCTATAGAAAGACACAAGTAGGAAGTTTTATTTTTCATAGCATGTTATTTTTCTTCATAGGATATTAAAAATGTACACATTTAATACTACTAAGTTAAATGATTTCAATTCAGGAAAGTTGGAAATGCAAAACTACACTTTCTAGAAATATCAATAGGTAATTTTTGTTATGAGAGTACTTCTTCAAAGGGTAGTATACAATATGATTTATATTAAGATTTGTGTTTGAATTGACTTTTAAACATTCTCTATCACCAGAAGAATCTATGTAGGTAAATGAATTAATATTCAAGAAACACGTGCTGCACAATCAGATCACATCTCAATTGAGGTTACAGGCGAGATAACGTTTTACACTCCTATATCACTCTTTGTCTCAGTGTTGGGATGATTAGAGGGCAAAGCAATTGCAGGAGAAGAATTACTCCCAGGATCTGCACTGTGATTGCTACCTGCTGTTTTGTTTTGTTTTGTTTTAAGCTGGGAACACTGTTTCCAAAAGTCCTTCACATCTCAGCCTAGATGATTTGGTAGAGGGTAATGATGACAAGACTAATGTCTAACAGTAGGCTCTCACTGTAAGTAGGCAATATAAGAAAACGTCCTTTACCTCTTGTCTTAGAGGAAGCTGAGTAACTGTGAACACTATCTCCTTTTGCCAAGTGAAACGTTTTTTTAATACTCTAAAGTTAGTATTTATCTTCAGAGAATATAAATAGAAAATAAAACTCCAGTACAGCAGAAGTAAACACATCACACTTTTATAGACCAAATATCCCTAAAATAGCCTTTGCAATTTTCAAAGTATCAATATGTTTGGCCAAGGGCTCAGGAGAAAATCAAGGAGCCTGTGTCTCTAAGGATCCCACCTCTTCAGGTTAGCTGGTTGCCATTTTAACTCAGATAGGCTCGGGCTGTGTTAACACAAGGAAACCAAGAACAAAAACTAGGGCAACCATCTGGATTGAATAATTCTGATGAGAAATCAGCTTTCCTAGGAACACTTGAGAATGCTTTACTGGTTTGATTCATATAGGCATTCATCTCAAATTTTCATTTTGCTTTGTATAAACAGGTGGATAAAATAATTCATTTTAATAACAAGTACATAGACTTGAAGTAGCTTTGTTTCCTTAAACTACTAAATTTTTTTCTCAATTTTATGAAACACTAGTTAACTACAGAAATATCTTAGTATGCTCATTTGTGTCACTTTTCTAAAGAAAAAAAATCCTTAATAGAAATAGAAAGATATAGGCAATGTTTAAATTTATGTTTCCTTTCAATCTTACAATGGTCAATAACACCTATCTGTAACAACACAATGCTGAAACTGAGTGAAAAGTTTTAAACAAAATACTGAAATTCAAATATTTTAGCTATATTCTTTTATTTCAACCATATTTCAAATATTTGACTAATGGTAATGTAAGAAGCTAAAAAATACCTTAATGTCACTATACTTAACTTGTATCAAATTTATTTTAAGCTAAAGTTTCTTTTTTATTAAAGATTGGCACCTGAGCTAACAACTGTTGCCAATCTTCTTTTTTCTTGTTTTTTTTTCTTTCTTTCTGCTTTTTCTCCCCATAATCCCACCAGTACATAGTTGTATATTTTAGTTGTGGGTCCTTCTAGTTGTGGCACGTGGGACACCGCCTCAACATGGCCTGATGTGTGGTGCCATGTCCGCGCCCAGGATGGGAACCAGCAAAACCCTGGACTGCCGTAGCGGAGCATGCAAACTTAACCACTTGGCCATGGGGCCAGCCCCTAAGCTAAAATTTCTTAAAAACTAGTATTTTTATTTGGTATTTTGTCTTAAAGCAATTTTATTACTAATGAGTTTAAAATTGATTTAATATTCATTTTTAATCTAAGCTTAAAAAAATCTTTTTGAGCCCGAAAGAGAATTTAGGGTGTGGACATTTATTTTAAAGTACTAAACTACTATGTGGAAATTAAGATGATAAATATTCAGCTAATCTTTTTTCACTTCTGTAAAACATTCATTTAATTCATGAATGCTATATGGGCTTGGCGCAGGGCTAACATTATAGATTTTGGAGACACAACTTCCTTAACTAAAACTGTTAGCAAAAAACTCCCACCACTCAAAAACAAAAGATGCTATACATACCAGTTATTCCTTTCGAGTTATCAAAATAGTTTCAAATCATGCAATCTTAACATGGCTTTTATGTAAGTATATTTTTTTTGATTATGCCATGATATTTTAGCAAACTAAATTAGAAATGAGAAAAAGTATCTTTTACAGGAAAAAAGATTTTCGGAAATAGTACTAATTAGCAAGTATATAAACTCTCAATAATGGTATAATATTTCAAATGTACTATACAATTTTATCCTGTAAGCCAGACACGTTTAAAAATCTTTGAAGGCATGGATAAATTAACAATAAAGCAAACTATCCTTGTTTCAATGTATTAAATTATCCGTGTTTCATTTTAGCTGGCTAGCTAAAAATGAAGCAAGCTAAAACTGAAGCAAAAATAGAGTCAGCTTACCAGAATAATGAAGGTAACAGGTCCAATGAAACTCCATATAAAATAGTTATCAACATGAAGCCAGCAACTATTACGAAAAGAAAAGAATACATATTAAGTAGCTTCAATGGATCTTCAACATCACAAAGAAAACAGAATTCTAAGAGTCTAACCAACAAAATTATCTTTACATTTGCCTTTTAAAACTCATTTCTTAGGAGCAGGAACAATTTTAAGAATTCTGAGTTGGCTTTGATTTAAAGAGTAGTAATTTATTTACTTCAACCTACTATTTTTCATTTCAGGTTTTAAATTTGATAAAGGCATATATAATTACGCTTGTATGGGGAAAACAACAAACCCACCACACTGCGATCTCTAACTTTTAAGACCTCTGACTTTACTAAAATCTTGAAACTCACTATTCCAAATTGTCTCACCATTACAAAGTTCTTATCTCAAAAGTTGCCTTTCAGATCCATAACTGAGCTAAAGTGTTTAACCCTATGGAACACAACAGACAACAAAAATGTTCAGATGTTATGTTCGCTGCAAAACAGGATAGCATAAATATACTATCTCAAGGGAATGGATGAATACTAGAAAAAAAAAAATCAAACCACAGAACTCATACAGCATTAGAGTAAATGATGCATAAACTTATTAAGACAGATTTTACTTAGTGGTTCATTTTTCATATAACACTGAATCCCCACTGAATTTCTTTTATTTGTCTTTCATCATCTGTATAGTCAAAAAGCTTTCTTTAGTCCAAAGAATCTTTATATAACTAATTTTATCAAAGGAAAAAATAAACAGAATTGGAAAGCAAATTCATGCCTCTAGCAAATAAAATCCTTAGAAACATGGCTATGTCTACCTTCTGTCACTTTCCATAAACATCTATATTTTTATAAATGAAAGACAGTGACTTATTTTAATCCTTTCAAACTGCCTGATAAAATATTATCAAAGTAAAACATATGGGATGGAATGTGCTACTGTCACAATTCAGAATGAGAGTCAGCTAGAGGGTCGGCTGCACAAAGAAAGCTAATGAAGCATTAGCTTAAAACTGAGTAGTTAAGGCTGTCAGATGCTTTAAGTTCAGAAGAATTTTTACTTAATATCTTTCTAAGGCCAGAAAGTTATTTACTTTTTCAAATTGTTTCAGGTCAATCTTTTGTGTTAAAAAGAAAGTCCATAATTTAGAATCTGCCTCGCCGGAGTACAAATCCTCTGAACCTAGAAAATTACAAAAGACTTGATTGTAATTTGTGCACGGCATGCCCATTCTCTTACCAATAAAGCTTTCAGATGCTATTTTAGTCTGTCAGGGACCCTCACTGACAGCTAACAGGCTTTAAAAAATTATTCACTTGAAAAACACTCAGGTCGCGTGCAATTACTTACGCTTTTTCTGTTCCATAGCTCTTATAGTCAATAGCAGCTGAAACTCCAACCACTGTGGCAGGAAACAAGTAACCAGCAACATAGTAATATTTCTTCCTGGAATATTCACTTTCAAAAACTTCAACTAACATTAGATAGAGCTGCACACCTTCTAGGCACATCCAAGCAAAAGCAGCCAAAAAGAAAAAGTGGAGAAGTCCTGCAAATATTGGGCATGCAATCTACAAAGGAAAAGAACAAAAAGACAAAAGAGAACACATGAAAAAAACAGCTCACTCCAAAATTGTAAAATATTGCTCACTATTGTCTTTAAAGTCCATCATTAGAGTAAACAACTGCTTCTTTAAACAACTTTTTTTTCATAAACGGACACCCAAATTTGAAGAGGTTAATGCTTACAGAGTATGATGCTAGGTGTGCTAGAAATTTCACTGCTAAAATACATTACTATTTTTAGTGAAATTAAGCGCAAATAAGAAAACATAATTTCTTTTCTAGAATTCTCCATTATTAAATCTTAGTTTCCATTTGTAGATGATTTCTTCATAAGTCTTTTAGAACAGTTGTTTCCAAATATATTATTTCTGGTTTTTCTATAACCGAATTTTAAAAATTGTCTTTAATGACAAATACCCTGGCTCTAATTATCTAACATTATTTTCTTGACATATGTGGAAAATACTAAATTCATCATCCATAGTGCAGAAATTCTTAAATTCATCCCAGTGCAGATGAATATAGGGTGAAGCATTAACTAATTGTTAAGCTCTGTTTCTGACACCGAGACCTCACGATGATGAATAAATTGCTTGGAATATGAAGAAATGATCAGTGGGCAGAATGACTACGTAAGCAAAATGAAAATTATAAAAATAGAATCTTTTCACTTCAGTATCCCCAGCATCCTTCTATTCAAATTACATCTTAATAACAACCCCCAAAAATGCAACTGCACTTTAATACAAGAAATGACTGGGCTTTTAATTCATTACTGATTATCCTTTAATATTGCCATGTCCTATTGCCACATGGTCAAATATCAGTATCATCATCCTGTGCACATTCACACCTGTTATAATAATGTTCAGAGATCCAAGGTCAATACCCTGGAGGAGTGCTTACCATGTATTTTGTCTTATCAATGCCTATTAGGAAAATAAATTCAGCAATGAAAAGGTTGATACAAAGGTTCTTGTGGATAGTATTACGGTCACTCTGTAGACCACGGAAAAAGCAGAAGGTGAAGATGCAAATAGCCAGGCAAACAAGGGAAATGACAATTCCCACCCAGGTGATGACCGTAAGCAGTAATTCATGAACTCCGTCTTTGTACTGAAAATAAAAAAAATGAGGATCATTAATATTCCTGCATTCCATCACCTAAAGTAAGACAGCTTTCACATATGATAGCTCATCTTTTAATACTAAGCTCCCTGAATATTATTAACGTGTGTTCAAACAGGGCTCAGTACTAAAAAGAAATTTTGATCATATAACACAGGTCAGTACTATCTTGTTAACTTTTTTATATTCAAACAGTGACCTAAGAAAGTGGAAGTCTACCTAGAAAGTGATGCAAGAGCCCAATCATTTCAAAAGGACGGAAATAACTACCCATAGAAACATACAGAAAATATTTATATAATAGAATAAAAGACACTTAGTTATGATTTAAAGAAATTACATTTTAATGACTTTCCAGGCTAACCCATAAGTGAAGTTTTAATTTTCTCCTTGGGTTTTTTATATTATATAGCTATGCATTGCTTAATGGCAGGGATTCGTTCTGAGAAATAAGTCGTTAAGCGATTTCGTCATTGTGTGAACATCAAGGAGTGTACTGAAGGGGAACAGAATCTGCCACTCCCAAATGTGTCTCTCTAACAGGCAGATTATTTAAGGCTGAATAATTTTAAGAAACAAAAGACTCCGAAAGTTTTCCTTGTCACCTCCCCCTTATCTGCCTAAAAGAATTCAGATAAAAAAACCTGTCTCAGGAAGCTAGCTATCACCTTAGCGTAACATGAACTAGGTGCTGGACAGGGAGGAACCTAGAAAAGCCTGTTTGTTGGGCTGCCCTCTGTGTTCTTCTGTTTCTCTGTGGCCAAACACTTGTTTTCCAAACCTTTGCTCCTTTTCACCTACTTGCGAATAGCCTTCCCTCCCTTTGAACTCCCTGACTCTCCCCACCCCCAACATTTTCTTTTGTCTTTAGCTGAGGATAACATTTAAGGTGAGGGCTTTGGCCATTTTGGCAAGTTATTCAGTTTCCCTGGGTTTCTCCCATGCATACATGCTTTTAAACTTTTGTTTTTCTCCTATTAACCCATCTTATGTCAATTTAATTCTTAGGCTAGAAGAACCTAGAAGGGTAGAGGAAAATTTCTTCCTCCCCTACAGTACTTATACAGACGTAGACGGTATATAACCTATTACACACCTAGGCTATATGGTACTAATCTTAAGGGTCTATTGTCATCTATGCGGTCCATCACGGACTGAATGTCATTATATGGAACAAGACTGTATTTATATACTGAGAATCCAGTACACAATAGATCTGTGAGTTTTCATGTTTTATTTCTTAAAATATTTTTATCTTCTGGCTATCATTCTCTTAATCACAAGAAGGAATACTAAGAAATATTCCAGAAGCCATTCTGACCTTTTGAAATTTGCAGTTTTGCATAGTATGCAAAGTGGTCAGAAAACTTAAAGTGCAAGTTGTAAAATCAGAGCCAAACATGCAAGATAGGGAGGGCCTGCTGAATTTCACGGCCCTCTGTCTCTTTTCTACGACCTACTGTTGTTCATTTTTAAAATCCAAAGCGCCTCTGCCCAACACCTGTCCAAAGGAGAAAAACTTAGCACAAGCCTGTAAAGCACATGATTTTGAGAAGTGACAATAAGTACAGTGCCAAGACTTCCTAAGATACATGGACAGTGTAGAAACAATTAGAAATCCACATTAGTTTGTTTGCTTTTTAGTTATGATAAGCACCCAAAGAAGGGACTATTATACAAGCTGTTTTGAATCTCCAAGGCTTCTCTCTGCTACTAATTAGAAGTGCAAATACTTACTGCAATTTCCCTGTGGGCCATGAGGATTGCAAAATTGGTTAGGTGGCTGCATGCACACGTTGTACGCGTTTTATTAGTGTCAACCAGCTTGCAGCCCTGGGTAGACCAATATCCCATCATAGTTCTCTCTGAGTAGTTCCAGAAGGAGCAGTTTGCATTGAAATAATTGTCAGGCTGGGAAATAAAATGACAAGATAAAATTAGGATTTTACAGTCTAAGATGGCAATAGCAATTGTTTAATATGTGTAAAAGGTAATTTAGATTAAACTTTGCATGTTTCGGACTATAAAGTTTTTCATCAGCAAAATTGTGGACTATGTTATCCAAGGCAGATATCTAACTTAAAAGGGGCTTTATAGTCCGAAACACTCTAAAGTGTACTCTAAATTACCAAAGACTCATTTTACACAATTACAATTTCCATCTTATGATTTTACATACTGATGGCACATTAGAATCTTTTTTTTTTTCCTTTCTGACAAAATTAGAGCCATGAATTTGTTCTGAGAAAATGCTATAGAGACCAAATGTTTTAAAATCCATTTTTCCATTCTGGACCCATTTTTGTTCTAAGTGACACATTAGTGACGTCAAAGTTCAGAAAAGAGCGAATGAACTGCAGCAGACTCAAGAAGAGAATAGCTGCACAAATTTATCTTCCTTTGCCAATTCTGGAGATCCACTTGGCTATCTGTGGGCACTTATTCACTCTACTTATAACAACAGCCAAAATTCTGCAGACAATCTTCCAACACTGTCATTATTTAAATACCAACTTGCATTCCAAGACACAGCAGAGGACTCACATCTCTTCAATCCCAGATTTTTAAAAACCCAATGCTTGATAACAATTGTGTCAAATGTCATCAGTAAAATGAAACAAGACAAAAAATTGCCCACCCTAAAAAGGCAGAGTCCTAACAGTTAAAACTAGGCTATCCTGCTGCTAAGGTAAGAGTTAATCTTCATTCTAAAACAAATTACTGTCATTTACATTTTCCTGTTGATTACTGAATTAGCTTTCATTAAGAATACACTTAAGTTCTAATAATCACTGAACCAGGCTCATTTAATTTTATGTTCACAGACTTAAATAAACTTGTGTCTCTGACCTAGTCCAACATTTGAAATTCAAATGGAAAGGTCTTTTCTTTCCTCTCTGCCATCTCCCCATTCCCCTTCTCCCATCCCCAGCTCATCAGTTTTGCTTTCCTTTCTTCCTGGTTTTATAACCTTCTACTTTCATTAGCATACGTAACTTACATCAATGTGCGGTAGGGTAAAAAGCACAGGATCTGTCAAGTATACTCGGCTGGATTCCTTATTGATTGAAACTGAAATGACGTGGGAATTCACTGCGATGGTGCTATTACGACCAATAAAGTCAGCACCCAGCTTGATGGTTGCATTTTCTGTACTAAGGAACTGTCCCAGACTCCGGTAAATGATGAACACCAACTTTGCAAGCCCTGGCAAGGTAAAAGTAATATGACTTTACAGGAAATGAGCTTATGAATAAAATAGGATACATTCAGATAAGAATAAAATGAAAAACATCCTTAAAGAATTTTAATTTAGATTAAGTTTACCGGGAAAGAGTAAAGCAATATTTTAAGTCTGCTTTTAAATGTTAAGCTGTGTTTGTTATATTAGGAGTCAAAGAAACAGCATTTTAGAATAGGGTTAACTGAACAAAAAACCCAGCAACTTTTAAGACTCTGTTCCCTCTTACCGTTCCTGCTGTTCTGTTTGACGGTATTTGCCGAGAGCTGGATTGAGCTGCCTGCTCCTTTGATGCCCAGAGGAAACTTAAAGTCTTGGACCTGTCCTTCTGTACTGAGTACAGCAACTTCCAGAACTGGACAAGGCAAAGGATAAGGGAGGAGGCAAAAGAGGACATTCGTTAAACTACAAAGAGGCAAATGATGATTGCTTGGGAACCACTGTTTATTTTTCTCTATTTACAAAACTTACCTGTTAGATTTCAACAAAATCATGAACAAACAACTAAATTACTCCAAGAGGACTTAAACCTTGATTACTCCAAAAATTTCTGTATAATCAGTTTAACATTTTCTTCATAGTTTTATATCTTTTGTCATAAACTAATTCCAGAATTTTGGCCTCTGAATATGAATAGCATATGAACTCACAGGACACAACTTTCAAAGTTTCATTTAAATCGTTAAACACAAATATTTCAAAATGATTTTTTCCTACATTAAATAACTTTTCAATGACCACTACTTGGCAGTGATAAAGCTTAAATACAAAGTGTAAGTTTGAATGCGTTTATTGCACGTATACACCTATTTCTATATATACATTTTAATACACAGGATTACATAGGTCAATTTTGCACTAATAGATTTTCTCTAATTTCTAAAAGTACCGAGATCAGCACAGCATATTTATGAGAAAACGTCTGGCACTACGTTAAAATTTCCCATTAATTCTCACTAGTAACCATCAATCTTTACCTATTTAAGTTGGGCAAAAAAGGCCCCGTGTGCCAAACCTGGCCTGTCACCTGTTTTTGTAAATAATGTTTTATTGGCACACAGCTGTGCTTAGTAATTTCCACACTGTCTAAGGCTGCGTTGGTGCTACAATGCCAGTTAAATATTTGCAACTTAGACTACCTGACCTGCAAAACCTAAAATATATCTGTTTGAGACTTTATAGTCAAAATTTGCCAACCACTGCAGTGTAATTCGACATTCAAACATTCAAATCACGTAGCAAAACTAGAAAATATGTACGAAAAACAAGTCAATACATAACATTGAGACTATCTGCCTGATCAAGAGACCAATGTTGTTTAACTTTGTTTCAAAAACATAATAGTAACACTGTCAACATAAACGTTGTATACTGTAATTCCAATAAAGATTGCAACACTTTATATCAATATTCATTTAATTTTTAAAAAGAATGGAAATTATTGTCTCTACTAAAGTCAACTACTAATATTAGTAATTAGAATATGTCATTTTCTTGAAGAAATGAGAAATTTGTACACCAACACACAAATGTGATGAATTCACCCACTCCCTTTCCTTTTACAAAAATGAACTTATATCATTATAGAATATAACTCTTGGATACTAATTTTTTTTAATCTTTCACAACTTTGTTTTGTAAAAATACGTATACATTTAGCTGTAAATATGAAATAACATTGGGAGATTTTTAAACCCATCAGATGACAAATCAAGCTCCTGAGATAATGTGACTCCTAGAATTCTGTCCGAAGCAGAAGCTGGTTGAGACCCTCAGTTTACTGATCCCTGCTTAGAAAGACAGGTGGGGAAGAGCATGATCTCCTCTCCTCATACCAATTCCATGTGTGCGGGCAGGGGGTGGGGGTGGGGAGAAGAGTGACAAAATCATACATCTAATATATATCTCTCTCTTCCTTACACTGAAAGGGACTCTCAATTATTAATTATTCTTAAAACAAGACAAAGACAGGGTGAGAGAAGGAAACCCTTTGAGTTTTCATGAAATGTTCCAAATATAGATGTACATGCACAGAATTTTAACTTCATTCAACAGATATTTACTTACCAAACTTTAATTTCATTCAACATATATCTACTTATTAGAGTTTAAAAATCATGTCCATAGTAAAAAAATTGATTTGTTTGAATTAAAAAAAAAGAATCATTAATACAGATCTTAGTGGAGAATCAATAATCAACTTTATACCAATAAATAAACAAACAAACATATCAATAAATAAATAAAATTAAAAACAGAAAGAAGGGAAAACTTCCTAGAAACATAAAACTGACTAAAATAAATAAAAAACCACAAGAGTTTATGACCACTAAAGAAAATAAACTTGGGGGGGGAAGGCAAAAGGGGTGATTAGGCTCACATGTGAGGGGATGCACTATAATTAGTTTTTGGGTGGTGAACATGATTTAATCCACACAGAATTCGAAATACATTGCGATGTACATCTGAAAGCTGTATAATGTTATAATCCAGTGTTACTGCAATTAAACAAATAAAAAATTTTTTAAACAAGAAAAGAAACTGATAGTTAAATATACACTGAATCTTAAACTGCTCCAGAAAACAGAAGAATGCTTTCCAACTCCTTTCACAAGACTTGTATAAGCCTGACGCATAATACAGCACAAGGAAAGAAATTACAGGATATTCTCACTTATTAAAAGAATGCAAAAATATTTAATAAATTACCATGCACTTTAAGTACAATATCTTGAACAAATTGAATTTATCTCAAAAAGACATATAGAAATTAATGCATTAGAAAATATATTAATGTAATTCACCAAATTAAGAAATGAAAGAAAAAAATTTACAAAGAATTCAATGAATTTCAATACTCATTCAATATAAAAAATCTTTACAAAATAATAGGCATAAAAGGAAGATTCCTTGCCCAGATAAAAGTTTTGTTATCAATAAGGGTTATCTATCCAAACCTACAGCAAACAATGGCGAAAAACTCCAGATGCAGTCCTTTTAAAGTCAGGATGCTTCCTACGCTCCCTATGACAGGTTTTATCTAGCATTGTACTAAAAGACCCAGCTAATGCAGTAATTCCAGAAAAACAAAAGGTATAAAGACTGAAAGGTAAAAGCAAACTGTTATTATTTACAGAAAATATAATTAACTATACATAGTAATCTTGAAGTAGTCTCTAGATACTATCAGAAGTAAAAGAACGTAGCAAGGCTGCAATCAGCAAAATCAATTGTGTTCCTATACATATCAAGCAACAAATCGTTAGAATATGTAATTTAAAAAGAGAGACTATTTACAACGAAAACAAATAGTGTAAGTTACCTAGGAATAAATCTAATAAAAAAAAGCACAAGCTATTAATGGGAAAAATATGGAACTTTATTAGGAGACCTAATAAATGGAGAATTACATCATGGTTGTGGTATTTGGCAGAACTCAACAGGTAAACCTGTGGCACTTCTTTCAAAATCAATCTACAAACTCAGTCTAATTCTAACAAAAATTCGAACATTTTTTGTGTGTGTGAAACCTGACAAACTGGTTTTAAAATTCACATGGAAGAGACATGCCAAAAGCAGCCAAGGCAATTCCTCAAGGAGCTGGGTTGAAAGAATTCTTCAGATATTAATATTATTGAAACAAAAACAAAAGCAACAACGTATAACAGACATTCCCTACATGTATAGAAACTTGATATATGACAGAGGTATCATTACAAACCACTGGGGAAAAGAATGAATTATGCGCTAAAAGTACTGAAACAACAGATTATCCATATGGAAAAAAAAATCAAATTAGTTCCCTATCTTATATCATAAACAGAAATAAATTCCAGGTGTATTAAAGACATAATTGTAAAAAGGCGAAGATTTATCACTTCTAAAGAAAATGTAAGATCTTTGAAACTGCAAAGTAGAGAAAAAAATTTTCTTGAGTAAGACACCAAAAAGGAAAAAATTTGTTAAACAAGATACCAAAAGCATCAACCCTAAAAGAAAAGACTGATAAATCTGACTTTATTATCCTGTAAAACAAAAGATACCATAAACAAAGTAAAAGAAAGAAGGCACAGACAGAATAAGTATGTGCAAACTATATAATCAGAAAGAATTAGTGTCCGGAATGCATTATCTACAGAAAAAATAAACAGGAAAAAGTTATGGACAACAAATTCACAGGAGAGAAAACTAAGATATCCAATAAATGCATTAAGTAATCAGAGAACTGCAAATTAAAACAATAATGTGATCAGTTCAAATCCATTAGAAAGACGAAATTCACGTTAACAATAATGTGTTAGCCAAGCCGAGAGAGTGATGCTGAACAACAGTATTAGAGGTGAGAATGCAAATTGGTAAAACGACATTAGAAAGCATTCTGGCAATCATTAGTAAAGCTGAAGATGAGCATGCTCTATCACTCAAGAATTCTATTTCTAGGTGTGTGTGTATGTGCACACATTTAAAAGGCGCACACATAGCAAGAAGACATACAAAAACTTTCACTGCAATTTTTCTTACATCAGCAAAAAAGTGTAAGCCACTAAAATACCTATCACTGGCACAGTTCAATAACTGTGGTGTATTCTTAGATCAAAAAAATGAACTCGAGATGCACATATCAACATGCAGAAAGAACAAAAAATATAATGGTAGGAAATAATTATACAATTGTAGTGTGAAATCATTAGAGTAAAAACATGAACAGTAACTGTTAAATGTACCTATCTGTAGACCAAATGGTTACCCCGCTTCTTGATGGGATCAGGAAGGAGGGGACTCAGAGGACTTATACACTATCTCTAACTATTTCTTTCCCCCCAAATCTGAAGTGAATGTGGTAAAATACTAAGATATAGCTCAGCTGGGTGATTGGAAAACAGAAGTTTATGATATTCTCTATATTTTCCATGCGCCTGAAACAATATATGCCTGAAAGTGAATACACTTGACTCACAGGAGAGCCACCCAGAGCCTCACTCATAGCCAGTGCTGGAGATAGGGTTTTAATATATTTCTCTGTCCTTGTATTTTTCAAATTTATCACAAAGTAGTGGCTGCAATGAGAAGAAAGGGGAAGAAAAGAAAGAGAGCATATAGGGAAAACTATGACCTCTGCCAGGAGACCTGTGACACTATAGGCTCCATCAGCCTGCGTCCTGGGGTAAAAACAACAGGGAGCAGCCTTAAGACATAGAGAGCAGAGCCAAGGCCAAGCCTTGATGGTGAAGAGCACAAGCCTTTGCTGTTGTGATGTTTTTGTGATCTCAACGTAATTAAGTCTAAATTGATGGATACAATCATGTTGGCTGCTAAGTCCACTGCGAAAATAAATGATAGGAAATTTTATAATGAATGGATAGATCAGGCTGATAATACCTAAACCAGTTAATCAATCATAAAATCAAAATGAACAGACAATCAAACATCATGGGCCTCTGTCATATGATGTGATAGAAAGTTCTTGGGGGTTGTGGGGGGGGGGGGTGGCTTAAACCTGACCTGATGAAGCCTTTAGATCTAATTATCAGTATTTATCAGTTAGGGTAAAATGATATAGTGGGAATGAAATGAGCCAAATCCAGAATGTGGGAAATTCTACAGCACAAATTAGCCACCCAAGTTCTCTAACAAAAATGAAAAAAGCTTAAAAAAAACCAAGATGTACAGAGAAATGACTTTTAATTGAAAGATTCTCCAGTGATATCTCAATCAAATGTATACCATAGACTTGTTTGATTCCTGGTTAAAACAAATTAAGTATTAACGAATTCACAAAAATCAAGTAAATTTAAACACATTTTTGTTATATTTTGAACCTACTTTTGTTAATTTTTTAAAATGTGACAATGGCATTGTGTTTTCTTTTAAAAAATATGGGATACATATTATTTATAGTGATAATAATACAATATTAGGATTTGCCTTAAAATAATATGATGGTGAGAGGAATAAGTGAAACAGATTTGCTGAACGGTGTTGAAGCTGGGTAATGAGGATTTATTTTTTACCAAAATTAAAAACTTCTGCTCTTCTCAAGATATCATGAGGAAAATTTTTCTAAAAAGTCACATACTGAGGGAAAACACTCAGAGTCCATACATCCAACAAAAGACTTACATTGGGAATATATAAAGAATCTTTATAACTCATTAATAAAAAGACAACTCAATTAAAAATGGGCAAAATCTATGGACATCCCATGAAAAGAAGTATGAATGGCCAATAAGCACATGAAAAGTGGAACTCTTATCAGCTAAATGTAACTCAGAAATGATACAAATGCAAAATAAAACCGAAATGAGATGACACTGCAAACCACTCAAATGGCTAAAATTAAAGAGACTGACAATCCTAAGTGTTGATGAGGATGTGGAGCAACCAGAACTCTCATTGCCTGTTAGGAGTATAAAATGGTACATGCACTTGGGGAAAAAGTAGCTTTACTAAGAAACTGGAAACAATCGAAAAGTGGAAACAACTTAAATGTCTAGTAAGTGAGTAAATAGACAAATGTGGTGTGTCCTTATAATGGAATGCTTCTTAGCAAGAAAAAGGACTGAACTACTGATGCTTGCACAAACACAGCTGAATTTCAGAAACATTATTCTGTGTAAGAAGATCAAAGAGTACATATTGTATGATTCCATTCAACTGAAGGTCTAGAAAAAGCAAAACTATAGTGACAGAAAACAGATCATTGATTGCCTGGGGCTAGTGGTATGAGGAGACTGACTGCAAAGGACCTTTTTGAGGTGACAGCAGTGTTGACTGTGCTCTTGGTCATATGGGTGTATATTTGCCAAAAAGTATCAAACTGCACACTTGACACAGCTGCTCTTACCATATACAAATTATACCTCAAAGTTGATTTTAAAAAGCTATAATCAGATATAGTTATAACATATAATTATACCATTTTTATGAGGTCATGTATTATAAGGATAAATCAAACAAAAAAGTAAAACTAAGGATTCAAGGAGAAATCACTAAGGAGGAAAACCAAATTGTCTTAATAACCTAAGATATTATAGCCATGCCCTAAATTTAGATAAGAGCTTCAAGAGTTTGAAGATGTAAAGGGATAATGGGCTACTTTAGTCCTCATGTCTGAAAAGAGAACAAGTCCCAGGAAAAAGGTGAATGTTTTCCTCATACTAAGTTACAGGTGATATTTGTCATAAAATTGTTTATGTCTTAGAAATAAAAAAGACAACTATGTTAGAACATTTAAAGTGATTTTTATATCGGTAATTCTTAGGTAATCAATATAAGCATATATTAAGTTCAGGGTATTATTTTTCAGAAGTCAGTAAAATGTATACTACATTCTACAAGAATTTCTACCCATAATGTTCTTTTTAAAATAAAAAATAAAAAAAAAACATGAAGAATAATCCTTTAGAACTCTGAAAACACTAGTATTAGGAAAAATATATTCCTGGACACTTAAATTTTCAGACTATGTCTCAAACTGGAATAAAATATCTTATGTCTTCTGAATATATGAGGCTGATGGGAGCATAGAACGTCAACCTGGCCCATCAAATTTTCTTGCATAAGAGGGAAATTTTAGGGTTTTTGCTTTTGAAATAGGCTTTAGAAGATTTAGAAAACAAATTGAGGTCACAATACAACACTTCAAATAATACTTTCTATGATTCATCCTCTGAGATAATCAAGTCTACGCTCCTTTACCCTTCCAGGTTCATCGCTGGAAACATTTGAGAATTGTTTAATGTACATCTTAAGAATTTTATTACACTGGTAAATAAATTAACCTTACACTTTAGACAGAAAGGGGATGCTTTCTTCATTTTGTTACAAGTAAGACTATGGTAAAGAATCATTTTCCTTATGACTGTGATCCCAGATCATGGCAAGCCAAAGTATTTTGATTTCATTTAATTTGAAGTTATGGAGTTATCATTCCCAAATCTTACAGTAAATAAAAACATATGATTTTAATAATAATTTCTCTAAAACTTCGGTTATTTAAAATACACTTAAAGTTCTGAATTTAAATTCAGTTACCATAATCTGATTAATGTCTATTTCTTCCATACACCTGTCTTTTCTGTGTTTTTTAATATAAAGTCTCATGATTTAGGCAGGTACAACAAGACTTCAGTAAATATCTGCTGCTCCAGTGCTCTCTTTTGGTGTAAGAGTAGTCTGTGTTCCCTCTTGGGGGTTTTTTCGTTTATGCTTGGGCAACATTTTTACTTTACTAGACACTAGAAATTTCATCCAAGCTCAACAATAACCAACAATTCTAAACCAGTCAGGCCTAAATTAACATAATTTTACTGTACTTAGAGTACTTCTTTCAAATATCATCAAAAGTAAATTCCTATCTCTCATTTCTAGCATTTAAATTCTAAATTATACTTCAAAATTATCCGCAGCTATTTTGCAATCTATGAAGCATGGATATTCTGCACTATGGGAGATGTAGTTCACTGACCACATTTTCACCTGAAGGCAGCTGTTTAGTATAAAGATTTGGTTCAAATTCTGTGTGCCTAAAAGATTTGGAGAAAACATTTCAGAAAATGACTTAAATTTATTAGGAACAGAGTATATAAAACGGAAAAGCATTTCCCACAGTTCCATAACGAGCACTTTCATTACTTAAGCAATCCATATTCTGGCATGTAAGTACTCTTAACACTTTTTCCCTTAATGATTTTTCGGTTGGGGAAAAAAAAATCCACATAAAACCAACTTTTAAAAAATATAGAATAGATTTTGGCTTTTGCATTAATTTTATGAGGTGTGCTCAATAATATCTCTTGTTAACAGACAAAAATAATTTGACAAAAGAGAAGTCTGGCACTGGGAAATAACTCAACAGATTCAGAATGGGAACATTATTCCTTTAAACATCTATCTTCTAAATAAAAATGAAAACTGACAATTGATTCACTTACCAATATTTTCTGTGGGCATTGAGACTCTGGTTGGTTCTACCAGATTGTCAGCCAGGACAAAAGCTCCTTCTTCCAAGGTATCAAGTAACATTGTTGCTGTATGTGCTTGTTCAGAAGAATTCATGTGTTTCCATGATTCCAAAGCTTCAGGTCTCAGAAGGTTGTCCACTGTGTCAACAATTGCCTGCATCCATTTGAAAACTATCATCAGTTTTGACTGCTTCTAGTTCCAGGGTGCTTTTCAATCATTGACTAGTGACAATTGTAATATTTATCTGTCCTGATGATTTACTCTTTATTTCAAGACGGAAGAACACCTGGACAACATATATCTGGCCAATTTAAAATATACCTTACAATTTGAAAACAAGACTAACTGAAGATTAGTAGACTGCTACTTGATTATCAAGACTAAGTGTAAAAAGATGGCTTGTTTCTGTTTATCTAATCATATCTCAATTACTGAAGAGAAATACAACCAGCGTCAGCCCTTAATCTGAGCTATTACTCTTACATGCATGGTCACTCCTACTTATAATCTCAAGACTTCAATGTTCTAAATAGAAAACACTGACATCTCTGGAGTAGCCTAATATTATTTATGCTCGAAAATTAAACCATATTCTTTTTTGGAACCTGAACTAAAAAATAACCAAAACTGTGCTCTATAACATTGTCTATTTATTACCACTGGGGGAAAAAACAAGATGATTTCAAAGTTTATAAATTATCTGAGAGTATATTGAGAGTACACTTTAATTCATAAACAGTTTTTAAATCAAGAGAACAATCAAAATATTTAAAGCCTATAACAATAATTTAATGAAAGCAGAAAAGCAGAATGAAGTCTTCATAAACATCCAAATTGTAAATATTATATATGTAGGTTTAGTTTATCATGCAAAATAACATTAAATAAAAATATAACCCAGTCAGTTAAGCAATTGAAGACAGGCTTTTGTACTGATACTTACTGTAGCTGTATACTGACTATGGCTTGGATAGCTGAAATCACTAAGTTTATTTACTCTAGCCCATTTCCCTAGTCATAATGTGTCATTAAGGCCATATATACCTGGTTTTGATCTACTGGTAATCACTGAGGAAAAAAGAACATACACTGTTCAAAGAACAGCAACAAAAATTGCCAGTTTGAGGTCCCATACTGAAATAAGCAGGAGGAAAAGTTGTTTGAGACTACTGTCAGAGTAAGATTAATTAGCTTAATCCATCTTAATATCCTCCTTCTGTCTGCCATGTGAGCCACCACGATCTTCCTGGCAGGTGGAAGATACTTCCAAGTGGTGTTCAAGTCCTTTTTCTCTCTCTAATGGGAGACAGAATAGTCAAAATGCTCACACTGACGCTGCTGCAGCCATTAACTAGAGTGGAACAGAAATTGGTCTGTTGAGGCCAGATTCATTAGTCATCAAGAAATACAGACCAGAGCCTCTAATCTCAGTTACAAATGAATCCTGTCACAAAGCGGGAACGCACTTCATTTGCATAGTGTAAGTCAGCTTCTGATTTGTAATTTAAGGAGTTTTATTAGTCTTATCTGAACAGAGAAGCTCATTTGAGACATACTGAAAATGACACTGGTCAGAAATTAAGGTCATGCTGAAATTTACTATGTATACACATAATTCACTGACGGCATGCTTTTATTAATTTGAAACACTCCTTATTTATTACCATTTGTACTTTTCTAGGAGAATCAAAATGATCATTAGCCTAATCATACTCCTAAAGTAGCCTCTCCCTGCCAAAGAAAAAAAGCTATTTTTTCCCACTGAGATGTATGTCCTGGGCAACATACCAATTATTACATTTCACACATTAACTAATACCTGAAAGGCGAAGTGAAAATTCCAGTATGACAAATTCTGTACACTTCAGCAGTTATTTCTTTGCCCCTATTAAACAGGCTAAAAAGGACTTTCAGAATATTACCACCTAAGAACTCACTTTCTCACCACCTTTTCTTGTCAAGTTCTCAGGTCCAACAACATATGTTACTCTCTAGTGAGAATGCCATTCTTTTTTTCTAGACCTTGCCAACCAAAATTGGTGATGTCACGGCTTTTGAATAACCTTGATTCTACAAAACTACAAAGTTCTTTTGTTTTGTCGTTATACCTAAATGGCCTAGATTGACTTACTAGGGATATGGTCCCCAGATGACTAAGGTTAGAAAATAACTATCCCCCTGAAAGGAAATTCTAAAATTCACAGAATACAACAAAATGCAATCTAGTATTATTATTTTGATCCATCACACAGAACTAGCATGGCGTAATTCCTCTGTCAGCCCCTCCGTGTTTCCCACTACTTGGATTACCACGAAGGAAAACTGGCTGGAGTGGACAAGGATTCTGAGCCAAAGAGTGGCTTTCTGTTCCTATCAACCTGATAAAAACCAATATAGAACATACATTGATAGCACTGTCATATTATGTATATTTCATTTCTAGTAACCCAACCCATAGTAACGTATCAACCTGAGTCTAGAAATGACTCCTAAAAATTTCAGGACAAAGCCTGTTTTAAGAAGACACCACAGAAATAAGAAAGCAGGGGCTGTTTCATGCACATACATCATGACTGTACAGTCTTTGATATGATAAACTGCCAAGAGTATATCATAGCTGTTTTACTCAGGTTGTTTTGTAATCCACAGAGATGACAACAGGAACCAAAGACTATAGATTATTTTCCAATTCAGAGGATATTTCATTAAAATTCTTGTACGTTTGGATGAATAGAAAAAAAACCAGCAAAAATTATAAAAATAAATGATTTGCTTATTCTGAGATTAATATACCTGTGAAAAGCCAACATTTGTACAGCTGATATGGGGCACATTATATAATTATCAAAGACTGAAATACATTGGATCATGCAGCAAGATGACAGAGCGTGGCAGGTAGCTGAAGGAGGGAGAAAGCAGGGTGACAGCACAGGAGAGATACCTTAAGGTAAGCCCTGCATGTCTTCTCTCGTTTTTGGAGCTTTTTAGTAAAAGAAAAGAAAATCAGAGGTTAGATTTTATCTGTTGAAAATGAGGAAGGAAAAAAATCCTCAAAACTTCATGTTCCTGAGCTCTAAGTTTATTATGCATGGTAGTCCTCTGGATTTTTGTGAGTCGACACTGACTGCCAAAATTGTGTATTTATGGTTTTTAGCTATATTTTACTGAGCATACTAATCCAAAGTATCTTGATAAAACTAGAGACAAAATATGTGGTTAAAAGAAAAAACAAAGACTATTTTTAACCCTATGAAACCATATTAGCCACAAATCAATTTCATATAAATACTTATTTTATAGTATGGTTAAAATAATTACCAAATTTTTGTCATAATAGGAAAAATTAATAGCATTAATACGCCATACTCCTAGAGAGGGAAACTTGACCTTCCTCCAAACCTGCATTGAAAACAGTATTTCAGTGGCTAATATTCCTATGTGCATTACAATTCTGCTGCAACCATAAGAGTTGAATGTGTTAGCAAACAAAGTTTATGAGTTGTTAACACATCTCTCCAAGTGCAGACGATGCCTTCTAAAGCGAGAGTCCTGACCACAATCAGGCTGATGAAGTTTGGCACCAACTAAGATCTCCTTCAAGTAATTAATTTTTTTTTTTTTTTTGCCACGTTGCTCCTTTCTCAACTGTAATTCTTTCTTACGAAATGAACCAAATTAGAAATTTTGTTTCTAAGTGTATGTCAAGGGGGCCAGAGGTTTGGCAGTCAACTGCTGGAAGAATCAAGAGCTGCCATACAAAATGTCTAATTGAAAAATCACAGAAAATTTCTACCTACCTTGTTATAACTCCGTCCAGCTGAATCCTTTTCACTAGGTTTCAGTTCCTGCAGCTGTGCATCTAGAATGTCCACCAACTGCTCCATCAATCTCACAGAAGAACTCACATCCCCAGCAAATACCGGCCCTTTGGTATGTTTAGCCAGTTCATTGGCAAGGCTAGCAGCATTTTCTCCACTTCTGATCTGAAATGGCAATTTACATTATCTCTGTAAGATTTCTTGTTCTGTTTGTGGCTTCTTGTTTCTTCTCCTAGTATCTTTGTTGTGGTGAAAAAAATATTTGCAAATACGTCAAAATCTGCAACTAATTGAGAACAATAACTTTCTCTTCATTTCAGATGATTAAAGGTTCTTAAATCCTCAACACACAAAAGAAATTCTTAACCAGACATTTAAAAGAAACAAAAGGGAAAAGGAAAACCAGAAATCCTTTTTAAAATTTTTCAGACAGCTCTCATTTTACTGCAACCATTTTAAACTGCTATTTAAAAATCTTACTTATTTATTCCAATGATCCAAAAATTTAAACTGGAATGTAATCAGTATGATACTGAAGGTTATTATCTACTGCTTGCGTTTCAGAGAGGTGGATGGAGAAGGAGAGACTAAAATGTCACTGCATTACAATGTAATACTAAAGTTACAATGCCTTTTAAAGTCATTTTTACTTATTCTACCATAATCATCTGCGATATAAACATCTGCTTGCATTCTGTGGCTTCAGTTGCAAACTTAATGATATTTGATTTATTAGGCCAAGGTACTATTTGTCTTACAAACATCAAAAGAAAGAGAACAAACTAAATATGAATGAAATTAAGCAAGTATGTACTCAGTAAAAAGCTTAACACAGAAAACAGAATGCCCCAAAACATATGTGACTTTGAATAAATAGTTTTCAGACAAAACTATGCATAATGTTTTACTTTCATACTGAACAAAGAGCATTGAAGCTGGTTTTAACATACAAAGCTAAATTATTTATGTTAGACGTCAAAGCCCCTAATCACAAACGTGCATCATATTCAAAGGTTCCAACCAACCTTCTGAGCCAGCTGATTCACCCAGTGTGAGGTACAGTTGCTAAGATCGGGGCCCTTAGGGTTCCATGTTCCAGTGGAAACCATGCAGAGATACGAGGCAGTTCCTACAACAGATGTAGAAAACAACAGTGAAATTGAAACCATTTTTCTGCATGCATTCGGGAAAAGAGCAATGATGATCCTACTCTGCTTGTTAAATTTTGAATAAACACTAATGGAAGTGGTTGACAATAACTGACAAAAAGTCGGGTGTAATGTGCGTTATAAACAGTAAATATAAAGTCAGCATAGAAATAACAGACATTTACAGCAAACAAACAAAAAGCCCTTGATTTTCTTGGGACTCATCCAAAATGATACTTGTGATGAGAAAGACAGCTGTAAGGAAGCCTCATAGAGTCTACAGGCAAAAATCTCGGGCCTGACCGAAGTCTTTAGGAGGGAGAAGTAACTCAGTGCCTGATCTTAAATGACTTTTACAGTTTAAAAACCTTTGTCTACAGGTACTATAGGAAAAAAGTAACAAAAATAATAACAAAGTGAGCTATTGTAAATCTCTGTCTTTCCCCAAATAAAATCACTTCAGTGTAATTCAGAACCTACTGACTCAACGCGAAAATGTACGTATGGTATTTTACAGGAAATACCTCTTGTTCCCTTGGGACACGGTCTTTCAACCATCATTCCCCTTTGTGTCTGAGGCCACCTTATCCCCTTCGCGTCTAATGCTTCGCAGAATCTCTCTGGCAGGGGAAAAATATTTGTTACAGGAGGAATTTTGGTTGTAGAAACTGCTGGAGGTGGTTTTGTCCCTTTGCTTCCTTCCTGTGATGCAGCTACAGTTGTGCTCATGGGGCCTTTCTGTGAAGTAGTGCTTGTGGTTGATACTGTGGTTTTGAACAGCTCAGCTGAAGAAGTTATTGTCACAGCTGTGGTAGGCACTATGGAAAAAAGATGAGCATGTTAATCTCCAACACACACTTGCACTCACACACAGGCACACACATGAATGTGTGCACACGCACACAAAACCCCTACCGTCCAACCACCCCAAATCCAACACAATAAGAATTCCTGAGAACATCAGTAGGCTGGGAGGAAGAGTAAATCTCTTCATTTATCCCAATTTATTCATTTTGTTGGCTAAGCGATGGAAGTCTAGGCTTTACTACAGATGTTGCTGTGTGCCTCTAACTGTGTTAGGTTTACTTCTCAATTAAATACTTGATAATATAGTTCAGGTATAATTTCATCAAATATCATCTAACAGGAAATGAAGGACAGTTTTACATAAAGTTTCAATGTACATACCAAATACATTATGTCAACGCTAAATAGTTTAGAAAAATTCTTCTCTTACATAAACCCATACTCTATAAACAAGGAAATTCAAAGTATCAACAAAAGTCTGACAATTATATATAATTAGAACAATAGAAAATTTAAAGTCACCCACTCTACATCTTGCAGGAAAATAAATACTGTGACATCTTTCCACCCAGCAGCCATTCTTGCTTGAGAGATTTTTTAGCATGCCTGATTAGATCCAAACAGAAGATAAGCTTGGCATGCTTATGCTGTTTTAGTAAGAAAACATCTGAGGCTTCCTGCGGCATCTTTACTTTTGAAAACGCAGGTATGAAAAAGCAACTAGTTCCGGTCAGAGGTTACAATTCAACCTCTTACCAAGATAACAGGTTAGATCAAATCATGCATAATTCGAAACCAACCCTACACAGCTGCCTGACACTTAAGAGAGAGTATAAAAGGAACAACAGTTACACATTTAAAGGCGGAAACATAAAAAGAAATTTTTTAAAAGGTTATTTTTGACTTCCAACATTACTTTCAAACTGTTAAATCCACTAGGTTAAAAAAATAATGGAGCTTAATGTTTCTTTCATTAATTACCATTTAACTAGTTTAAACAACAAAAATTCTGTCAGTAAAACTTTAACGCTATCATTTAAAATCTGTTAGGTGATCACACTAAAGTTTATCAACATTTAGAGGTTACTGGCTCTTAAAACCTTACACGTATGATGCCTTAAATTTAAACCATTCAAGTATAGCAAGTTAAAATAACTATTGTTTTCAAGTAACATAAAAACATTAACTTATTTTATGCCTTCTCTGCACATAAGAAACAAACCAGAACATTGAAACTTACTAGAAAACAAGTTCACATTATCACTAATATGTTTACTATTTCAAGTTCTGGCCCATAGTTGTTTAAATAATTCTGACACTACTGACAAAATATGCTAAGTTTATCAAAAAAAGCAGTGTGCACTTGTTTCTAGTTTTTAGTAGTAACAAACTTCTTGTTATCAATAAGCGCACCACACACTTTCTAAACTTTTTTTCCTGGTATCTCAAGAGAAACTTCCTAAGCATGTGTTTTATTTCCAGGGCAGAATTTATTGACCATATGAGAGATGCCTGTGTACATTAGTCAAACATCATGCCCAGCCAGCTGCTGCAGAAACCTATTCAAACCTGTCTGTCTTTTTCTGTAAAGCACTTGCCTGACATCTTGTTAAACCTCTGTAATTTTCTTTTGATTACAATGCAGCCAAGCTTTCAGTGCTTTCTCAATTAACATTTGTCAAAAGCATCACAATCTTTTGCAGAAGTGTCAAACGACGCCGCTGAATCAAATCTTAAAGGGGAGTGGGGAATCGGAGCGAGCAGAGCAAAGGGCAGAGCAAAACGGTTGAGCGCTGCAGCATCTTACAGATCTCTCAACGCTGTACTAATTAGTACATATTTAATCACTGAAATATGTATTAACAATACTACAGCTAGTGATCTGTTAGCTAAGCATCAGTAAAGAGTCATAGTAGGGAATAAAATGACATCTACTAAATGCACAAAATTTCATGCGACATTCTATAGCCTATTTCCATGTGTTTTGACAATATACTTCCATAGGTTTTCTTTCACCTTTTGTTCATCAAAAGAAGTTTAAAGGGAATCAACACATTCTTCAAAGGTAAATCAATGAAATACAGGGCTATCATAACAATAAACACGGAAGCAAACTTTAAGAGGCAAAATTAAACCCTTTTGCAGGACAACGAGAATTTCTGGGATTTTGCAAGGCTGAAGTTTAGCAACTTCAAGAAAAGTAATTTTTTTCTAACGTTGAAGGTAGAAATACAGGGGTATTTCTAAAAATTAATGTTTCTTTCTATAAGTAAAGACAAGTTCCAACAGGGCATCTGCTAATGATAAAAGCTTACACTTACTCATCAGCATTTATGTAGCAGATGCTATGCTAATCACCATTCAGGGATCATCGGATCATCCTATTTAATCCTTACCACACCCCATGAAGTAGACACTATGATTATCTTCCTTTTACAGAGGAGGAAACTGAGCCATGGAGAAAGTTAAGCAATGTGTTCAAGGTCATTTATCCATACTCTTAAATGTTATGATCTTATTTTTCTAGATAAAAGATTTTCAGAGACTCTGGAATATGCCTTCCCACAAAGCAATATACTCCTTTTTTGGAGTATTTAACTGACACTGTGTTCTGTGAAAATCTCTAAAAGAAGAAAAGATTTGGGAAGATAACATAAAATACAAGAGCAATAAATAATAAAAAATTTCATAATGAAACTTATGTGGCAAAAGGTTTAAAACTCAAGAATACCCTATAAATGGTAATAGAAAACTCAGCAACTCACAAGAATTGTATCTCAAATCAAACCCTATTTTATAGAGCTCTATCCCAGCGTTATCAGGATGCCATATTAAACATCCAGATTAACTCATTTAGTATTCTGCCTACCATTTATCATTTGAGTACAAAGACCTAGAAACAGTGCTAATAAAATGCTAATAAACATATTTAATGGGTACTCATAAAGATTTTTGACAAACACATACAGAATGGTTCAATTTACTATGGTAGCATTTACTAAGAACTTGCTATTTATTACCAGCTTTTTCCTGCATGAAAAGAGTTAAAGACAATATCCATTTATGCTAGGGGTAGTATTCCCCTCACCCGGGTCAAAGAACTCAGCTACTGTTCACTGAAGGAACATAAGTTAGAGTAAGTCTGCAGCTTGGTAAGGCAAAAACGTGTATTCACTAAATTTACCTTTATTCAATGTCTAAAACCAATGATCATCTTTTATCAAGCATTCATTACCAATGGAAAGATGTTTCAATAAATATGTATTCCAAGCTAAACACTTCCTAAATAAATAAACTTAACTAGCTCTCTTGATAAAAATTTTCTCTCCCATTATTGAAATGTCATACTTCGTAATTACTGTAAGACACATATTTAGGAACTGTCAAAACCCAAGACAATGTTTTTCCGACATATCTGGGATACTAAATCTGTAGACAGATTAAGCAAACATAACATAATTCAGATTAAGAAATAGGAAAGAGTTAAAATACGACTGAAAAGGTTTTTCCCAAGCTCACTCTACACAGGGAGAAGGTGAAAGGAAAAACAGATCTAGGTTAGGGGAATGGAGCAGATTAACTATGCAGAGATCACATAAAGTTAAGAATTCAAAGAAAAAAAGATGTATTTGAAAACTATGATCAGGGCAAAAAAAATAACATGCTTGCCCTGTTAAGGAATAAAAAGGTTTGGATTTATAAATGGGAAAAGTATTGAAGCTAATACACATAGGAAACAGTCCACAATAAAAAATGAAAGAAATGGATAATTTTACAGCACAATGTACACCTAGGCCTCAAATATGGTAACAAATCCAGTACCTAAGACTTTGTGAATTTCAGCCAAACCAGTCAATCACTGTCTTATGACAGGCAAAGACCTGATTTCTCTGATTGCTCTATTGTATCAGTTTCTCGGATCTTGCTTCTGGAAAGCTGACAGTGGCTTATTGGTTTGACCTAAATTGATGGGCTAGAATAGTTCTACAAGGCCCCATCTACACGCACATAGATAACAACACACATCTTGGACAAGAGAGACAGGAGTCTTTAAAAGCCTAGGAAGATAAATTACAAGGAGAGAGAGAATAAGAAAATACGGTTCAAACAAGCAGCAAGAGAAATTTAGGTCATATAAAACTTTTTACCACTAAGGGTTTAATAAGGGTCAATATGAATTTTCACTTTCTGGGCATATTTAAGAATGGCTAACTATTTTGGATAACAAAATACAGTTGTAGGAATACAGTTATCAAATATGTCTAAGTTTCTCATTTTCAAAGCTGGTAACTGCTTTTTCCAAAAAGCATCTAAATTATCAAAGACTTTTTCATCTGAAACGGATCAAATTATTTACTAGAATATAAGCCACATGTGGAAAATGACATTATTATTCATCCTGTCAGCGAAGGTACTTTGTGACAAGTAGATGGGGCAATGATCCTTTTTGAATTGAATCTGTACGCAACTTTATTCATAACACTTCACGTTTTGTTTGATTATGAATTTGCATTTCTAAAAGTATTTTCCTTTTTTTTTCTAACAGAGGGGAAGAGATTTACTGACACCCAAGACAAATGCATAACAGCTGTAAGGGTAAAACAGGTTACAAAAAAAGGTTAACACAGGGATCATTACAACATCAAAATCTATCATTTCCTGAAGTTTGCCTTTGACAAACCTATAGGATAAAGGAAAAGGATGGTACTAGTTTTTAGGAAAACAAGTGAGATAACAAGAAACATTCCAGATTGATGAGCTCATGAGAAAAAAGATAAGTCTAAATTTAAAAATAAATGATTCTAAGATACTATCCATAAAGATTTTTATACCCTAGAAGATTTAATTGTTGAAAATTTAACAATGGGACATTTCTGGTGTAATTTTAAGCCAAAAAATTCTAGCCATCCATGAATTAGAGAAAAAGGGGCCTCGCGTTAAGTTGGTATGTCATTATTGCTCTTATTTTATGAACAAAAATCACTTATTTTGGTATTCTATAATGACTCAAATTAGAAATTCAACTACAAAAGGGTGTGAGTTCTGCTTTTAAGGTCCCGGCCTTATGACAATATTTAGAATTTTCAGTAACAGTATATCTTAAAACATGTGTGGGTATACGTAATCATCTCTAAGTGTGTGGATGTGTATTGCTTTAACAGAAGAAAAAAATTATTAATTTCTTTTCCACCTTGTTGAAGAGATTGATTCAATTATTTTAAAGAACTTTCTGCTTCCTAAAATTTTGAAGTAACTCAGTAATTTGAAAACTCCAATTAACTCAGTAAATGGAAACATTAATTCAGATCTTTAAAACACAAATGTTATTGTTCAAACAGAAAATACATATAATTAGTGCAAGCTCTATAATAATATATTAATAGGTTACTCTTTTACCATAAGGATGAAGTAATCTTGTTTTAATCAAATATTCATTTAATTTACTCTCAAAAATTGTTTCCCACAGAATTGAATTCACTTGATTAACTAAAATATTTTTCCAAAGATTTAGCATTACTTTCTAAAATAATGATCTTCCATAAAGAAACCTAAAGAGAACATAAATCAAAAATCCTAGCAGACCCCTCTTCATAAATCATCACTTGGGATCATTTAATGCTTAGTCCATACGTGACAGTTAAAGTCACAGAAATATTTACTTAAAACCATCACTAATTTATCAGGAAACAAAAATGCGTAATTTTACATGATGATCTAGGAAGATGTTGCATGACTCCCTCTCCAACCCGAGAGCAGATGCCAAAACTCCAGAACACTGACGCCTGGCATTGTACATCAAGCCCAGCAATTCTCCTGGGGCCTCCTCACACACATTTGCCTTAACCACTGGCGCCAAGGAGTTAAAAGGTCTGCACATAGAGGGTAGTCAATTTAGAAGTCAGGGAGGAAAAGAACAAAAAGAAAGCTAACAGGTTTGTGAGTTGGTCTTGTATTTTTAGCAGTGAAAAACTAAACTGACCAATGATGCTACACTTTTTTGAAGTCAACATTTAAGTGAAGAAATTCAGAAAAAGAAAATTGGACCAAAATAAGGCTAAAATGCACACATTTTGTGACAACATGAAATGCCACAACGTTATCATTTAAGCTTTAGCTGTGAAACAATGAAGAAAATAATCAGCAAAAGGACGCCAAGTCTTTCAAAAGTAAGCTGTTCACAAAAGACATAAGCATTAGCAAGGAAACATTCTTACCTTGGGCAGGATCAGGTGGACCAAACTCCAGAGAATATCGTAAAATGAAGTTATTGTTCCACACGTAGAGTTGGTTATCTCTAGGATTGTAATCCACTGCAGCAATATACTGGTACTGGTTGGGAAAGGGGACATCTACATATTCTCCTCGGTTTAATCGGGTATTGTAAATGTAATCAATTGCATTCTTGCCTGTTTCACTCTCATTGTCTTGATAAACTGACCTGACCACATAGAGGACTCCGCAGATCATAAAAGCATTTGAGGCAGCACGTTTGTCATAGACAGTCTCCCACGTTGCTTCAAATCGAAGAGTGTATGGATTCAGCTGGCTAATAACTATCATTCCATTGTTCTGTTCCGTGGCATAAATGACCCATAAGCCGTTTTCATCAACTGCTAGGTCGATATCAGTCTTTCCTCCCCATCTATATGGTGAGGTATCATGATAGTTGGCATAGTTAATTATGGCCTCTCCACTCTTAATTCTAGTCCTCAAGTCAAATTTTACAATATTCCTTGTTCTTTCTTTGTTAAAGAAGACAGCACCATCATATACCACAAATCCAGTACCATCTACTCGATTTGGAAGTTTATATGTCGTTGTTTGGCGACTGTTTTGGAAATCTTCTAACGAAGCATATTCTATTAAAGTATCAGTACGATAGGGAGTCCAGGGCATGAAATAAATTTTATCTGCAGCCTGAAGAGGGTCCTTGCACCAAGCACCTGCCTTTTGTTCAGCTTCATATATACATGGAGAGTCCACAATTGCTTTCAGTGTCCCAGGGCACACAAAAACTAACAGTTACAGAGAAAAGACAAGAATTAAGGCTAGTTAAAAACAATTACATAGGCAAACACAAGATTTAATAATCATAAGTCAAAAGAGAAAAATTCGTTTAATTAACATTCAATTTTACCAAAATTTATACTTAATACAAGTACTACCCCTTTCTTTCCTCAAGTTACCACAATCAATGTACCAGCATACAAAGTGGCCGGGGTTTACTTTCACAAATACAAACCTAAGTTTAAGATCATTCATAATTGAACTGGCAATTTACCTTTTTGTTATGTTTTTTTACCTTATAATTTAGTAATTTATGCACTAAAATTTTGAGGTTTGTGCATAACAGTGTACAAAGTATTTTAGTCCAAACTTTGTACCTTTCCTCCCCTGGCTCACTTCTAAGCTCCCAAAAGCAAAACACCAAAACAAAGCAAATAAAACAAAAAACCCAATGTGTAGGCTTCTATAGAACTTTTACAGAAGTTAGACTGAAAATAAAGGTGCTTCAGTTGAAGGAACGGAAATATTCGGAAAATGTGATTAGGAACAGAGAAAAGTAAATACGAGGAAAGCAGTGATGAAACGACCAGGAGACCCTGTAACCATGGCATGCTATGGAGAGGGTTCTGGAAGCCAGGCAAGATGACACTTTAATAATAAAATATCCAAGGGTGTCAGAAAAAGAGATAAAGGGTGAAAAAGAAACAAAGGACAGCTCCCCCTCGGCGACTTCAGAATTTTTTCCCCATCACCAGATTTAGCAGTCATATAATTTCATTGTAAACAGTTGACTTCTTTATGAGGTGCATTTATGAGATCCTGCTGATTATTTTAATGTCAGGAGTGTTGTGGGGGGAGGGAAGGGAGGAGGTAACATCCATAAGGCACATAACAGGGAGCTGGGGTTCAGACTGTATACGTTATTTACCTTTTTGCTCCACTTCTATTTTAAGCATCGGAAGAAAAATAAAAAAAAGTGCAAGGAAAAAAGAAAAAAGATTAAAATAAATTGACTATTAGTCTAAGACTGAATTCGTAATAGACGCTAAATATAGGAAGAATAAGAGCTGCACTACTTTGGATAAAGAGAAACACATAACAGGAGAAAACCTAGCAGGAGAAAGATTCTAAAGTTACATAAAAGAACATGGATCAATCATTTTAGTAGATTAAGGAGACAATACAAATATGTTGGCATGTTGCTTCACTTAGTGCACCTGAATAAATAATGAAACTCTTCACTAATGCATGGTATACATACTCTTGCCTTTCCAAAGTCACTCAGCATTCTTATCAAGTTTTACTTTATCATATGCATGCTATAGACACAAATGCATGCACAGGTGTATCATCCCCATTTATTTCATCATGTGAACTCATTATTAAATTGCCTAAAATTAGGTAAGCATCACAACAGGAAAATATATTTATAAAAACGGCAACTCAATGTTGGATCTTAGGTCAAATTTACTGAATACTGATGTGGTTACATTCTAACATTTCTTCAAAGATATTTATTGTAAGAAGAAATATATAATTATGCATCTCAGTACACGTTTCGACTGTTTTTCTATTATTTTTTATTTCTAGAAAAATCCTTCTTAACCATAAAAACAATGCCTCCTTTTCAGGAATACATAAATCTCCCCACATCTCAATAGAGATTTTGAAAGATGAGGTAAGATTGTGCCCTTTCTTCCCCACTAAGAATTACTAAATTTAATTATTTAGGTTTATATATATACTTTATACTATAAAATTCTTATTAAATTCTCTATATCACATATCTCAAACTTGTAATACTAAGTCTATTAAAAAAAAGTAAGCAAAATACATACAAGGAAAAAGCAAGCACAGTAGGCAAGGAGAAAAAGGAAGAAAGAATTATGGTTAGCTTATTATGACATTGTTTACCATCATCAATTTACACAGAAAGCAAGCTAAGCATGCAATGACAATCATACAGAGCATTCAAAGCAAGTACCTTGACTCCACAGACCCCATAAAAGGTAAATGCTTTCATAAAACAAACCTGATTAGTAGAGTTACATGAGAAAAAAACCTTCCCTCCAAGAAGTTGAAAGAAATGGATTATGCAGTTAGGAAGTGCGCTATATAAAATTCTTGCTGGTAAATAAGTATTCTAATGATTATAAACCATAAAATACTAGTTTACATTGTATGTAAGCTTTGAAGTATGTTGCCTGAATTTCATCAAATGACCAGATTCATTTCTGTGATTCTCCCTCTTCTCTTACTAAAATGCATTAGAGTGGGCTAATATTGTACCTCCAAACTGATTACTCAAAGATACTGTAGTTGCACATTTCATTAAGATGTCTTAGCTTGATTAATTTTTAAAAATTACAACAATTCATCAAGATTAAATACTGACCTCTTGAATTACCTTAGGGAGAAGCATACCACACAAATATTCTTGACACCGGAATAGCATATAACCTTTCGCAGTAAGACCCCACCTCCCCCATCCAATGTGGGCTATTGAACCACTTTCAGGAAACATACTTGCTCTACAGTGTGTAACTCTGACTACATCCGGTAAAAAGAAATTCAGTGCTACTGACATGTAACAATTCACTTTGAAAAAACCACTAGTCCTAAAATTACTCCTCAGTGAACAGCAATATTATACCTGCTTGGAATCAATAACGGAAGGGCGTGGTGGGAAAATGAGGATAAGAGAAATCATTAGTGTCGTGACTGCTCAGACTATATTTATATACAGCTATATTCTTTTCTTTTTTTAAAAGGACGATTTTACTGAAATAAATTAAATGTAAAGGATGGGAATAATACATTTAAAAATGTTACATATTTAAAACAGAACTTAAAACAAGTTCAATAAAGGATGAAGAAAGTATATTTTGCTTTCTATTAATTGAAAATGACTGGGTTTTATTATTTGATACACTAAAATGACAGTGCAGTTACTGAGCAAAATTTTCAAGAGGGAAGTTTTTGTTCATTTGTGATTTAACTGCTATCACTTATATTAAAGAAAATAAAGTAAGTATAAATTGTATATACCTTATAATTCTGATGAAAACTGAGAAGTAATAACCAAATGTAACAATAAAAGTGATTTCACAAAACCTTTGAGGACTGATGTATCACATAACATATGGATGTTTAAAACAAAAGTCCTTACATTATGATTTTTATGAAAACCCAAAGGATAGATGTCTGTCAAATAAGCCAAAATTCTATCCACTCAGAAGAATATAGAAAATACGATAAAATTAATAAAATTAGCATTCTTCATCACATGCCAAATATGTACTGCAACTTGTCTTAAGAGAATGTGTGAATTAATTCATAATAATACATCTACCATTCTATAGAACAAACATAAAAACATGAACCACTAACATCAGGGGAGGACTACGTGGATATGCAAGACAATTAATCGACCCAAACAGACTAAAGTCTACGTATTCTGTACCAGAAGTGACACACTATTTCATTTTGAATAATCTCATGTTTATTTATTAACAATAATTTAATCAATAGTAATGGTTATTTTTCTCATCAAATAAAAGTTGTAGCTAAAATTATGGTATAATTTTTATAATTAAATGATAATTTGAAACAAGAGGGTAGAAAAATCAAATCCAAATCCTGCCTGTAGGATATGAAATTGCAATTTGATCATTCTCCTTTATTCTACAAGATCCTTATGACTTCTTTAAACACACATACACATTCAATGACTAACACTTCTGTTAATGACAAAGGGATGCCCTGTGACATACATTTTTGACAAAGACATTACCTGGCAAGTATAAATGTCACATATAATACATGTGCCTGTCTATACAAAGGGAAACAGACAACAGCATTTCTAGTAGAGTCTGTTGAGTAAATTTATCATAAAATTTTCAGAAATCATGGAAAATTTCTGAAATGTTTTTTAAATGGGAGGAAACCATTTGGGATTCATAAGCCCTTGGAGAATTTGCTCAGGATTGAAACTGGCATAAAGCCAAGTGGTAAGAGAAACACACTATCAGATAACACATAAATGTTATCTGATGGTGATGATTTTTATCCAAGTATACAGTGTAAAGGGGGTATGCAAATGTTACAAAGTACAAAAACACTATTAAAACAAGGGGAAAGTGAAAGCCAGAGGCTTAAAATAAAAGCAAGTGGACGAAATGGACATAACAGACAGAAGCTTAAAGAAACAGAAGGAGAGGGAAAGAGATAAGGAAGTATACAACCTACAGAAGATCAAACAATCTAAAATGATCCTTTGCTTGAAATGCTAATACTAGCAAAAAACATGCAATTTATAGTGTGTCACTACTGTACAGTATACAGGTATTATAATTACTTCTATTCTTTAGCAAGAAATAGTTAACAAAAAAAGCCATAGACTTATTTCTGCCTCGTGCAAACATCTAGAAAGGTAACAGCAAATTAATTACTGCTTTTTTTTTTTAAGGATAAAAACTAAAAAGAACAAATACTTCTCTGAGTATAGCTATTTGCAAGTTTAGTGCACAATGTACAATACTTCTGGAGAACTGAAAAAGTAAAATTTTGAAAGTTAGATGTTCCAGAAGATATCCACATTTTCCTTTCTTAAACAGCACAAGAAATAACTTAAGAGTCTGAAAATAATATTTGCTTAACACTGTTCTTGGTCTACAGACTAGGTGACAGGAACTGGCTCCAGAAAGACACAATTCTTGGCCGCTCTGACTGACTCCACTGTCTGGGAATGGATGCTGTATTCCTTTTCTAATTTGAGGACAGAAACCACGCTAAATTCAAGTGAAAGTGCCTTTACGGAACAAAATTTTGGTTAGCTCAAAAGAATACAATGTTCCTCTAGTGGCACAGGAGAATGATTACGTAAGCCACCAACACTACACACAGGAGAAATGATATAAAGATCAGTGCACTCAGTAGGCTTCCGATCCTACAGATGGTATAGAAAATACTGAAAACATAAAAAGCATCCATTTCACAGGAACACAGGAACACAGAGCAGGGATGAAAAGAAAAGATAATCTGTGTTTGGCCTTTAACTGATACACCACAAAAAGCCAATTTATCAAAACTGTGGGCAGAGAAGACAGAGACAGCACCTTCACAGGATGTGTGAGAATGCATTATACATCTATGAGAATTGATAGTTAGGACATATGAATTTATTAGAACTAGAGATCTAGTTTTTGAGGTTCTAGAAAAAGCAATTTCATTATTTAGTTTGAATCCAGTTTTTTTTAGGAGGGAAGTACACAAAAACTATCTCCAATCTAGAAAATTGCCACTAAAGAACTTCTAATTCAAATCCCTGTGAATGAAGGTGATGTGACACTTTTTTTTTTTCTAATTTAAAAAGTAAAGAAGACAAAAACTATCAAACAAACTAGCTTATGAAAATCAGTCGTCTAAGATGTTGTTTTTTTCTCTTGAAAGTATAGGCTACAATTTAGAACTATGAATTCTGAGATTAGGAGGAAAACCACCCAGAATTAAAGCATTAGCTGAAGCCTACTTATGAAATTTCCAACTGAATTTTAAATACCCCCCTATAGGATCTTACTAAAAATGGATATTGTGCCAAATTAAAAATAGGAATATGTGTAAGGTTTTGTTATGTCTATTTTATTTAGTGTTAAGGTTTCATCGCTGAACCTGGTAAAGAAATTCTCCCTTAAAGACAAGGGAACAAAAAAGGCAGCCTTTGCCTCGGTTACTGCAATGGCAGCTTTTACGAGGCACTGAAGTTACCACAACAGCAGGTAGCCATTCAAGCAGCTCACGATTAAAAACGAAGTCAATTTCTTCTTTAGAAAACTGTGAGCCAAACCAATTTGTCAGCAACTGGTATTGGGCAAAAGTACAGATTTCTATCTGCCCTATTGAATAGCTAATTCAAGTTTGTTTTCTGGAAAAACACTAGCCTTAAAAGCCAAACACTTAAGAACACAGACAGACACTTGGCCAGCATCACACTATGGCTTCCTTCCACACTTCATGAAGCTAATTTGAGGCCTGAGTCTGTTAGTGCTCTGCATGCATAATGGTTTTGTAGGCCATAAACATATGCTTCTTTCACATGTGTAGTCTTTCAGTATCGACGAGGAATGCTGGAGAAAGCGAAGAATACAAACTTCATACTTACTGTAAGGGACACATTCATACTGGACTTCAAGATATTTGTATGTTCCAGGACATGGATCAGGAAATACATCTGACCCAGTAACTACTATACACTGTGTTCGATTGTTGCACCTGGAAAACAAAACAAATCACATTTATGTAACATAATAATTTATCTTTACTAAAGAAATATAATAGAGAATTGATTCGTTTTTTCTTCAAGCAACTAGTACCAAAAATCAAAAAGTTCAACTGGTATTAGGTCACTCTACATGATTAAATAAAGAGATACAAAAGTCCTATTTTCTTTATGCTGTAATATTTCTGTATCATGGGTCACGCTAAATTTTAACTTGAAGTGAAAAGAAAATAGCTAACAGTTCTCTATTATTCTACCATACATTTTAACTGGAATTTTTGACATACTCAATATGTAGTGAAACAAACAAATTACCAGGATACTCGCCATATTTAAAAATTAAAATTATGAAAAATAAAACGGTGCTACAACTGAAGAGAGACATGGAGTCATAAATTGATTAGCTTGTAAGTTTTGACAACATATTAAAATAAAGGAGCAAGCTTTTTAAATTTATCCTCTAAATACAGTTTTGTGTTACATTTTCTATCACAGGCACTTTCTTTTTTTTTTCCTCCCTCCCCAAAGCCCCAGTACACAGTTGTATATCCTAGTTGTAAGTCATTCTAGTTTTTCTATGTGGCATCCCTCCACGGCATGGCAAGCAGTGCTTAGGTCCCCGCCCAGGATCTGAACTGGTGAACTCCAGGCCTCCGAAGCAGAGCGTGCAAACTTAACCACTCAGCCACGGGGCCAGCCCCACAGGCACTTTCTATATTCTTGAATACCAGATATCAAGCTAGTAGACTGCACCTGCCATGCTATGGCCTGATAAATGATAGAACACATTCCAAGCATTTAGCACAGTGCCCAGGACACATTCAGTGTCTAAGCACTGTTGTTACTCTTACTATTTTCATAGATTGACATGCTTATACTATCAATATGGTATGATTGTGAACCTTCATTCTTCTAAATTAGTAATCTCTGAAATACAACGTTAAAAAGAATGTCACTACCACGATGCCTAGAATGTCCTATTTATTACTATCGGAAGTATTTTCTTATTTTTATATTGTCATTAATTCATCAGGATTATTAGAATTAAGTCAGAATTCTAGGCAAGATGATATCTATTTAAGTCCTATGGATAGTCCACATGATCTTTTTATAAGCTTTGTAAAGGCAAGAACTATTTCCCTGTAATTTCACTTGACTACAATCCATGGAATGTAACGTTTGCAAGGTTTTCATTATATTTTCTGATGGTATATAAATTAAGAAGGCAAAGCAAGCAGAACAAGAGCATTATAACAAAATTTATTTAACAATTTGAATACCAGACACTCTATAGTGCAGAAAATAACTAGACTATAAAACGGCAAATGAATGAAAAAGCAGCCCTGTTTTTAGCACAACTGTCTAAAGGACAGTGGGAGGAGAATTGTGTTAGAGAGGCGGAGGTATAGTAAGGCATGCACTTTTGGAGCCATTTCGACTGAAACCAGGTTGAGTCTTGGTCGAAGAGCAACAAGACCTGAAAACTTCTACAGGATCTAACAGGTAAATTTTATAGGTCAAGGTATAATATAATGAACTTCAAGCAAAAGTCTTACATATTAAATAAATTATAACTAATATTGCTTGTGCAAATACTAATGGTGTTTCATCATGATTAATCTATAATACTGTATTCCCCATTTTTTTAAAAACATACCACAGAAAATAATTTTCAAGAGCATGGATAAGGTAACTGGTGCAGCGTTACATTCCAAAGCAACATCATTTTTTATTCTCATTATTCTTTCTCTTAAATTGGTACAATCATTTGAAGAAATCTGCTGATGTTTTTCTGTTTAGTGTAAATGAATTATTTTTACATGAATCACAGAACCAATTTTATATCCTAAAATTTTAAACAGCAGATGGATTTAAGATTTCTCAATAGGTCAATGTCTAATGTTTCAACTAATGTTTCACTTTCTTCTTTCTTAAATTTTATAGCAACACGAGAGTTCATTGATTTTTTTTAGTTCCTTGATCTCCCAGGAATTCTCAGTGACTAACCTGGTCTCCATCAAAAACTAAAGTTCTGGGGCCGGCCTGGTGGCACAGTGGTTAAGTTCAAATGTTCCACTTTGGTGGCCCACGGTTCACAGGTTCAGATCCCGGGCATGGACCTACAAACCGCTCAGCAAGCCATGCTGCGGCAGTGTCCCGCATACAAAATAGAGGAAGACTGGCAGAGATGGTAGCTCAGCAACAATCTTCCTCAACCAAAAAGAGGAGGAAGGGCGACACATGTTAGCTCGGGGCAATCTTCCTCACCAAAAAATCCCCACCAGAAACTAAAGTTCTTTTATTTCCTTCCTTGCATTTATGCATACCTACAAGGATCCCCCCTTTATTTCACTCTCACATCTTTCAGAAACAAAGAAATCAAAACTCCTGTGAGTTAGATATCCCTTCTATAATATTCCCTTAGGTACAGATTTGACAGCCACCCAACAAAACTCTGCCATGTAGTAAATGGTTTTTAAATAAATCTGAAATATATTCATGATAGAAATCCCATAAAATAACAATTCCACTCGTGAGTAAACTTTTCACATAGTTCATCACCCTCCCCTCCCCACTGTAGCCTCCTCTCGTACCACCAAACCAGAAAGAGGTGGGAGAGACAGGGGATAGCGCTCAAGGTCCAAATGGACCAGGAACATGACGAACCTTGAACCAACGTGGAGAAGGATGTAGCTCAAAGGATTTGGGAATTCATGTATCATTTTTCAAAAATTAAGAATACACTGAAGATTATCCAATTTTTTTCCCACTAGAAGATCAAATGAATATATATGATTTTAATATGGGATTTAAAATATCTTTTATTCCCTATTTTTCAATGTCACAGCATGTTTGTAAGAAGAATACAAGGGATAAGCATTCATATTGTTTAAAAGACCAACACCGTACAATGAAAAGTAATTGCTCATATTTACTCTTATTCTGAACTTTATATTAGTCATCGGACCACAATTACAATTCAAACAAATGTCAAAGCAATTACACAATTTATATCAACTACATAATTTTTATTCCTTTTAATAATCACATTGTACACAGCATTCACTTTAAGACAGCAAAAAGTGATAATTCTAGGGTTCTATTCTTAAGTAAAACTGAAGGTAAGGAGATTTAATGGAGTTGCTATAAATAAAATTACACAGATTTCTAGAATTCACGGCCTCCCAAGATGTCACAAATGTTCACTTTTATATATCAAAAGTGCAAGAAATTAATCTTGAGAAAAAAAGGACTTCAGGGGCTAACAGGAAAGGGTCAGCAAGAGGAACGCAAAAGTCTAAGACTATCCGATTTGCACACCAGTATCTTGATTCATGGAAAAGAAAACCTAAGTTTTTAGAGGACTAAATGATGAAAATAAAAATTCAGACTATGTACATTCCTTTATGAACGAAGCAAGTAGCTTTAAGTTTCCAAATACAATTAAGCGTGGGGACACAGGGGAAAAAAAATACCAGTGTGAGCTGTTAGTACTAAGAAAAATCTGAAAATTCTTTAACGGATACACTGTTGGTAAGATTCTAAAACCATAAACTGCTATCATTTAAGAAGTTAGGGAAATAGAAAGCAATTAGCCACAGAAGCAAAGTAAATTCCCACCAACTGTTCTGCTTCAAGTTTGCATTCTAATGAAAATGAAAAGGCACAACTAAGCCAAGAAAGGAAAGGTATTCAGTTGTTTGTATTCTCAGCCCCGGGCAATGTTCCTGGCATGATTTTTCTCCCTCTTCCCCCACAGAAAAAGATTTCTTTATCAGTAAAGTCATGGTTGTATTAACAATTAAATTATCAGTATATTTTGGTAATACTACACAGATTCATTATGTTAAAAATCTACACTTTTTTAGATGTTAAACATAAAAATTGAGATGAATGAGAACACAGAAGAGAAATTGTTTTTTAAATAGGTGGACCTTTGATTACAACTTGAAGGAAATACAAGTTCAATTAATTAATTACTGTTCATCAAAAAGAAAATGGATACTAGATATATTTTAAACACTTCAACTTCTAAATAATCTCATTTTATTTTGTATTTGCAGAGATGAGTTAGGAAAGTTAAAGCACTGGTTCTCAAAAAGTGGTCCTCAGACCGGCAGCACCAGCATCAACTGGGAACTGGTTAGAAATGCATTCTCACACCCCAAGCAAGAGCAACAGTCTCAGAAACTCCGGAGGTGAGTACCAACAATCTGTGGTTGACCTCTCTCTGCAGGTGATTCTGATGCAGGACAACCACTGGATTAAAACAAGACAGGTTTACATACTTTAGCAAAGAAACGCCTGCTTTTTTCCTCCATAAATCTCAATGCCAATACAAGTGAAATAGAAACTCATTAAGCGATGAGCATGATTTTTGCAGCAGACACATAATAAGAGTTTACAATGTTAACATGTCTTCTCTTGCTAATTTTAATCATAAGAATCAAGGGTTTTAGTTGCTCTAATTTTGAGCAAGTAGGCTAGTTATTTATAAATTCTGAACACAGGGGATCTAAATAAGTACAATTTCTAAGTACATGTATGCATCGCATGTAAGCCCATTTTTAACAACAGAGAGAAAGTATATCCTTTTCCGAAATATTTGCTAGCTAGCTAATGAAAATTTATAACACTAAATAAATCTGGAAATAAAATTTTTGACATTCTGTGAAAATATACTATGTTCCCTAGAAGAAGGATGTCATTAAAAATAACCACAAAGAAGATGCACGGTAATCACTGCAAATTTTTCTATATTCAATCTTTGATTTATTTATTCAGATAAATTTTAATAAAGTGGCACAACTACGGGAAGACAATTAATGTAATATATAATTATTTTTAGAGAGAACTCCAGAGGCATAAAGCAGCTCTTGCAAATAACAGCTAAGCAGTTTCTGGGGTATAGTATACGATTTAAGACCACCTAGGAAATAAATGTAAAAGTACATAAGCACCCTGTCTCAAATTCTAAACATTAATCATTTTT